TCGTTCTTCTTTTCAATGAAGATGCTGTTGTCGTCTGTCGATCTATTCGCCTATGCAATCTACTGGTCCATCTTAGGTAGAAGCTATATCGGACGCTTTATCATGATTGATTGTCTAAAAATCTCTACTGCTGGCAGTTTCCGACAGCTGCTGGCTGTAGCTACAGTAAATCCTATCAACAAAATCCAAGATACAAGTATAGTTCCATTTTTGTGAAGCAGAACTCTAACTATATACTAAGCGTGGGTCGATTTCTGAACTTAGCCCGAATATTTTGAGAATCGGCCAAAACATAAGTTACATATGATCGTCGTATGTAGGTGAACTATAATGTATGGTTTTCCACAAACGTTATGCTATAAGCGGGTTGAAGATTGCATGCCGAGTTGTCGTATGGTGAATAATTCGAGAGTTGCATACCCATGTTAATTAGTGTGTAATGAGATACGTAAAGACTTAACTTACGGAAATACCTTTGGAAGTCGTTGTATTTTAACGATTAACTTTCTATTGGCTTGTACGCTAAATCATATGGAATTCGAGGTTTATAGTTAAAATTCGCAAGAGTTCATCAGTTTTCTACATAAACAAAAGAAAAAGATTTTATATCAACCTGCCACTTACGCTGTCTTCCTATCTATTTCACTTAGGACCACGCTGCTATAGAGCGATATTCAAATCTCCCAAAAAGGTCCGCCTAGATATGCAGTATTGCAGAAAGTTGGCCGGGCCCTAGACTCTGCCTGGTCCAGCTAACTCGACCGCTGCCAGCATCCAGCTATAGCGATGATGATCGCCTCTCAGTTTGACGTCCCTTTCCTTGTAAACGAACGAGGCCATAATGCTGCTGCTACTACAAGAAAAAATAACAACAATGTAATAGATAGCGAAATGGTCTTCAGCCAATAACGTCGGAACCCTCACAACAAACAGAATCCACTTGCGTTGAGTCGACGACCAGCATCAGTCTCGTAAAGGTGAACGTGAGTAGTCAGAGGTGAGGGTGTCTCTGAAAGTTCAAAAGGGAAACTCGAGTGAGAGGAGTCAGCAGCTGTCAGGAAGAAATGAACGAATTATGCTGTCTCGCTGGAAAGAAGATGAAAGCAATATGAAACAAATCCGTCCGTTGTACTATGAAGTGTTTTATAGTATCTGGAATCAGGAGCACAGGAAAGAACTTTTATCGACTATAGAGCTTGTTTAGTTACATAGAACGACCCATCGTATTAACGAATAGCTAACTCAAAAATAACAAATCATGATCTATTTTAAATATTTTTCTGTTGTATTACCTATTTTATATGCCGAAGTGGATCTTTAGTTGAATTTAGCCGCTGGTGGGACCTCGCTTTCAATAATAACTATGGTCGATAGCATCATGACTATCCTGTTATTGCTCACCTTTGTTAGACCTTAATAACATACAAAACTGTTTCAAGCGACAGCTTTGTAACTGAGATCTAGCAGCTATTGTAATTATATAGTATTATTTAAGTATTTATGCTGTTTGCACTACTGTTTGTAATATCGTTTATCAGTAGTACGATAATTCTTGATTAGCCATAACCTATGCTTAACTAGCTTGAAAGGACGAGCAGCGTGACGACCTACAAAATAATAGACGCAGAAATGTCAGTAGTTACTGTGTGTATCAACGTTGCAAAAGGCGGAAATCATCATATGTAGAAAGAGGGACTATACGATATTCACTCACTGAGCTAATAATGATAGGAGGCTTGGCCGTGACCGGGCTTCAGGCAACAAATCACACTACTTCAGACGCGAAATAATTAAACGAACGCAAGGGTCAACGAGAGGAAGCAAACGCTTTTGAGAATTTACCTACGTATTCCTATCCATTCGTCTAAACCGCAATACTTCAGAGTGTGGAAATGGCCGCGGGGAGTGTCTAAATGAGACTCTGTGCAAGATTCGAGTCTGGTAATGCTGCTCCATCCAAACAAAAGCGTCAGTTTACGACTTTGGCCATCTCGTACGTGCCCGTGCCGTGTGCGTTTTGCGCTGCTAAGAGTACTGTCCGCTTTCCCCGCCTGACCAGCGGCTGGTAGTCATCTGATTGTCTCGACGTATGTATGCATCTTTTCTCGGTTTGATAAGGGCGTCCGGCTGAAACTGGGCTTGAGATTTTTCGCGGGTCTTTATGCAAAGTGCTGAGAGAACGTTGTTAAGGGTTGTGTAAGGCGTACGTATTCATCCTTTCTGCGTCTTTTTGTATCCTCTCTGACCATCTCCTTTAGAAGCTTCATTAAGCTTCCCGAGTCGGTAGAAGCCAACAGACAACTCCCTGGGCTCACCAGTCCAGCATCGCCGTTGACCCTTTAGGACCAAGACTACGCCACAACAACGCAGGACGGTTGAGTCTCGAAACAGTATGGTGCGGTAAGAAGAAGCGGTCTACCCGTAGAAGGATGCTGAAAAGTTACTCTTCATAAAAATGCCTTTCCTACCAGTTACCTGCACCTCATTGTTCGCTTCCTCGCTGCCTCCCCGAGACTATGAGATCAGTACCTAGAAAACGGATCGTAGGCACAGGGGAGGGGAGGCAGTTAGTAGAGCGGGAGCAGGAAAGGGAGAGCAAAGAGCGAAAAACGAAAGCGCGATAGGGTGCAATAAAAAATTGTGCCTCTACTGGAGCTGAGAAGAACAATAACTGCTGAACGCACTCGTGTACACACCTACTGTCATGCATTTACGCGATCATATATGTAGTACCGGTCGGTCAGGATTCAGCCAAAAGCCAGCTGACATACAAGGACGTTGTCCACTTTTCGCTAGCCACTGACAAGTCCGTTCGACCGCCCACCATTCACAAAGACTAAAATCAGTATCTCTGTCTATCAGCCTCCCTATTGCGCATCGCGTGTTTTTGGATCGCACCGTTGCACTGGATGCCAGTGACGGGACGTCTATCCATGTGTTTGTATATATGTGGGCTTCACATCCGTAGTAGCGGTGCGTTTGTCAACGGTCAGTGAGATGGTAATCAATGAGGGCTGTTCGGCACTATCCCACTTCAAAAGGGTGCCCAAAAGTCTGAGGTGTTAGAAAGATTGCTACGGCAGTAAAAAACGAAATTCGTGCTGAGATATTCGCCAAGGTAGGCACACTTAAACGATTATTAGACATGATAGTTTAATTATTAATTAATGCCATTGCTCGTCCTGTGAATTGAGTACTGCTGTGAGGGTCTGACCTATCGCCCGATCATCTGACTCCATGTATAAACAAATGGTTTCTCAACCTCCTTTAGATATGGATTCGGGACAATTTTGCCTCCTATCGCGGACGTATTTACATACATAAGCAATATAGTCTTGTATTTTTAGGGTATTTCGTCTTTATCGGTTAAAAACTGGAAAATTTGGTTATCTTATGTTTCGGAAATAAAACATAATATGAGCAGGACAAGCAACTTACTCAAGTAATATTTGCCTTACATTGTTCAGTGACCCAGTTGGTTGTATAATTCGTTAAAGACGGCGGCCATTGGGGTAACGCCGATAACCTGGCAGGTCAGTGTCCTGCTTGTCTCTACATAGTTAATTTTCTTCGGTAGATTACTGTCCTCAAAACGTGTCCTATGCTAGGTACAACATATTCGAATTACTTCTTCTTTTGTCCACACATGAAACATTTTAACTGAAAGCATTAGGTAAATGCTTTTATTTATTCAAAAAATATATTAAAAAAGACGTCACGATCTGAATAGGGCTGCAGAAAATTGCAACTTCAACCATAGTATATCCATGTATACATGTCTAGCAAGATACCTAGTCTATAGGTGTTCTGAAAGATTGATCAGACTATTTATGTTATGATGCTTTCCTAGCATGGCCGCGATGACAATGAAAAAAACATTCATATTGGCAGTAGGGTGTGAATAAACGATCTGAGAAAGCTAAATGTGATCCCGCAGCAAATGAAGGCTGGTACGGTCGAATCCATCTTGAGTCGCAAATTTTCATGTTTATTGATGACACAGCGAACGATTGTCCCAATCTGGCTCGAAGTTCAGATTTAGTTTCTATTTTGGCAGACACTCCAGGCACTAAGTTGGCTTCCAGCCGATTCGAAGAGAAGGCGAAGGACTGCTTGACTTTGTGCCGGGCCGGAGAGCCTCACACAGAACGTCCTTTTAACTAAACGTTTCATTATTAAGTATAGATTTGCTTAATAATGAAATGAAAAATGAATGCTTTCGTATGTTTGATTCAATCTGCCCATCTCCAAATAGCGTACATCGCAAAGTTACTCTAAGTGTACACGTAATATCGACTCGGATGAAATAATGTTCCGGTACAGCGTATCGACAATAGTGTAGAATATAAAATTAAAGTGCTTGTTCCCAGCGATTACCGGTAACCGGATTTCGATCTGTCGTTTTATAACGTCCATAACTGTAATCTTCCTGAAAGGGTAATCTATTACGAACTCTTTTTATGTGCTCTAATTCGTTTAAGCAATAATAGTAGTTGGTTCGTGTAGCCATTGACGTTAACTGATGCGAACGTCGAATAGCCAATGTCTTAATTAGCGAAACAAGCGACGCACGCGACAAACCCAAAACGACGATTGGAAGCACCATAGCTGTACATATAGTTGCACAGTTAACATCCGTTCATCGGGTGCAGGAGCGGTGGCTACTGCTGATAGGCAGAGTTTACGGTAGAGCTAACGCTTACGGCATCGGCTTCTCCAGCTGTAGGCCCATTTGAATGGCCTGCTTGAATTGTTCATAATTCATGGTTTTTATCGCGTTTGCTTTGCGAGAAATAGAAATGGCCTATAGTAACGACACATTGACACACCCGGCGTGACCATATGATATTCCGGGTGCGCGATAATAAGAATTGTTTGTGCCTATGTACATATAAAAGCGTAGAGCCCATTAGCACAATAGCAATAAAAAATGCATAAGAATATATTAGTGGTACTTACTTGTTTTGTCCCTTCGTTACCGTTTGATTTAATAATTACAGCTGTTTCGTGGGCGTAGTCGACGGTATACCTGCGTCAGGACAACCTTGCCAGCCATTGCATGGTTAAGTGTCCTGACAGTAGACGTCATTCATGGGGCCGTTCAGGGAGTCAGTCAGGGGAGTGCAGCCGCAGCTGTACCGGCGCCCCAGTCGTTGACGATCCGCTTACCAGAGCACTTCTATGAGCAGCTACGAGGAGAGGAAGTCCGTATTGACTATCGGCCCAATGTAGGACAACCGAGAGCTAACTTCACCATCGGAGTCAACGAAGCTATCACAGGTATATATATATATACACATACATATAACTCTGCGAGTGTATATACGATAGCTTCGTATTGATTTAACAGTCTCATTCTTATCTAAATAGCTTTCAATAGTATCATGCAGTGGTCCCGATTCCGCGAATGTGTTTTGTGCAGTCTATTGGTTCCATGGTACGCTTGTGTTTGGCTACGTGTAAAACATTCCGACTTGTATTTTACGTTTTACTGTAATACTTTATTTTTAAACGTGTTATTATTTAACAAATGAGCGTTTGTTCATATGTAAATACTTTGGCATACGTGTGAGGTCGTCCGTTTGGTTTTCGTATGAGAGCTCGTTCAGCTATTATGCCAAGTCTACCTTAACTATTGCATTGAATTATAGAATCATAGGCGTAGAGCGCTAACATTTATATCATTGTACATGCAGTACTTTAGGTCTTGTTGCTGCCCACTTGTTTGTGATCTTATTTCGTTCCTCGTAAGACCGTTGAAAAGGTTTTTCTGCCAAATTTTCAAGAAAAAAAAGTTACATGATTTTGGCCGAACCGCTAGGACACTATTACCTTTTTTGTCCTATCAGTGTCTGACTGAGGCTATGTCAGTGGCACGCTTTTGCTTTTGTGTCTATGAAACACAAAATAATTATAGGGATAATAAAGAAAACACCCGGAGCTACTTTAGACCGTCATCGTATTATCCTTAAAAAACCTTGATAAAGTTGAGTAAAACTGAATAACGTGGTTAGGTCAAATAGGCCTTTAATTTTCTAAAACAATTGTTAATAGATACACGTAAGAGAAATTGTGACTTCTATTATTAATTGGAACCGGCTGATATATCTGGCTCTCGAACGCGTAAAACTAGTGTCAAAGTGTAAAATTAGTCTCAAACTAGAAATTTCAAGTAATGAAACGAAAAAGCAAACCTTTCAAAGACTCAAAGAAAGCCGCTTGTGCAAACATTAATCGAGTAATAGGATTCTATAATCTATCTAATTAATGTCTAATGAATATATTATTTAATCGAGTATTTCTAGCGGTCTCAAAGGCTCACACAATAATACATCCATTCCACACCGAAAAATCTGTTTGTCCAATATAATTGGTTCTACATTATGCATAACGCGTTGCCTTCGTAAAGCTGACGCTAAGTATATTGCGTTTTTGTATTATAGCTGCGCGACTGGCAACGGTAGCAATATACGTGTTCGACCGTTCTGCTAGTGTTTCTTGTACTGATTTAACCCGTCACCTCACACTTTTGCCATCATTGACGCTTCGAACTTCTGTCTGACTGCGTGGGGCTCACCCTGACCTCCCCCTCAGGGCTTTAAATAACGTGTACATACGATCTTAGCTCTGCCTTCGAGTTTCAGGATCGAGTAGAAGTTAAGCAGCGTATCGACGTCGCACAAAGATGTCGGACGTGGCCAGGTAGATAGAGTTATCACACAAGTGCTATCCCGTTTGGGGTATGCAAGAGGACCAATATGACTTTGAAAAGATTGAACTAAGAAGCACTCTGTTAGATGGAGCCATGTAGAAAGCGGAATCGAATGCGTTAAACTGAGCGAAGAAAAACTAGAGTGCTATTAATTTGTATTATACGCAATTTGCTAGCCTAAAGTAGAATTAAGTGATCATTGTGCCCCACCTTCGATCGCTGTGTCTGCCACCATCGTTGTTGTTGTTATTCTTGTTTTGGACGATATTAAGTACGACTACGCAGTTTTTTATAATAAAATGGTCAAAATGATCACTGTGTACATGTTTGCGCTGCAATCGGATGTCACCGAAAGTGTTTTTGGCCAGTTAGAAGCAAGTAAAATGTGTCGTGGGACGTAAGTGACGGCTGATCATGTAGCACACTATATAATATATGCAAACCGAATGTCAAACTGCAAAGGAGGGTGGTAGGACAGAAGAACGATCGTTTAGCCGAAGATAGAGTGCCTACAAAAACTTCATCCCACAATGCTGTCTGCGTGGCCCTGCTGAGCAGGAAAATTATTTCTAGGAAGCATCTCTCGCTACGTCACGGACTACCTACGAACACTATGAAAATGCTACAATGATGGTCTTCGGTAAAGATGCAATGATCTTATGACTTAAACAAATGGCTAGAATTTCGCTCAGGTACCGCTTAAGTACCTAGTCATCCATATAAAAGGGAGATCAGGGCAGACGATCTTACGGCGGGATGACATATTCACATTGGGGCCGTTGAAAGGCAGCATTAGTAAACCAGAAATTCGAATCAGACAATATGGAGCTGAGAGTTGGATTGTATTACCGTTGTGCATATATATGGCGTAGAAACACTAGAAATATTGTGAGAGTACCCATATTTGCCATGTACATACAGTGCACGAGAAAACAAAAGTCATCCGGACTAAGCAAATCCACATGTGCAGCACTAAAACAAACAAGGATCACCGAACAATCGTTGATATTACGTTGATGCGTGGGCATACGATGAGTTAAATTTGAATTAGCTAAAACAGGGACTAATAGACTGCGAAGATAGGTCGGTCAAGCGACGAGCGTTTTATTGGCTGTCGTTTCCTATCCAGCCTATTCCTGTCAAGAGTAAAGTGTTGACCATTTAGATGGTTAGGAAGATTATTTTTCGAAATATTAGTTAGTTTATTAAAATAGAGACTTGATAGGTGCATCCTGATACGTTATTGTATAGAACAATCGGTGAGTTAGGCATCACTTAGCTCTCGCGTCGTCTGCTAGATGATCTGCGTGGAAAATGCTGTCGAAACAGACGCAGTTTCGCGACGCGCGCCACCCTCGGTTGCGGTTTAATTGGCAGTCCGCCAAACGCATACGTAAAGGCCTATCCTATTGTTTGCATGACATCGAATCGATTATGATCATTAATCATAATATTAGCTGTACCCTTAAGTCGTCTTCGGATTTATTCATTCCGTACTTTAGAGGTGCAAACGCACAGAACGATCAGTAGCCGTGTGTGGCTTTTTTTCCTTCGAATATGGAACGAAAATACTTTCGTCGATCTAAACGGAAAACTGTCGTATTAAGATCATTTATATACTGATTTCAAACAGCATCTGCGGTCAGTCTACAGCACTGGAAACTATTCACTTCTTAATGAGAATTGCCTGAGCTCTAGGGGATACAAATGTAATGGATTTCAAAATGAAAAACAATTCAATTTAATTTAGTACCTGTTCTATTGACATTCTGAAGAGGAATTGCATGACCTTTTGTGTGCATAACGTAAGCATTTCGTTGACTGTTACTTTTCTTCTTCGGACACTAATGTGTATATATAGATAGCCGGCTTGTACTGCATCGTATTAACGTATCCAATGTTATGATTCAGCATAGGATCGCTACATCCCTAAAGCAGCTAAAATGTTAGGTTTTAAAAGTAAGTAGTCTTATCACTGATGCGAGACGTGCCATCTACTGAAGGTCCTGTCTCGGCGCAATGGTGGACTGCACAAAATGAAGGCTTCTAACCAACGGAATAGATTGATTTGAATATATATATATATATATAATACATTGATCCTGCACAAAGTACATCCAGCCAATAGCTCTTTAGAGTTAACAGTGCAAACTTGTAACTTACGACCCCGTGAATATATCGACAGTCTTCGTTTTTCTGAAACTATATCTGTTAGGAGGTTTGCGATAATATTGCGACATAACACCCGTCAGAGGAACTTAATGATCATACAGGCGGTAGCGACAAAATAAAAAACCGTACCGTTGAAGCTTTATGTTGATTAATGTATTAAGGATATGGCGGATTTATACAGTAGTCTTACTAAATTTACAACAGGACAAATATTTGAACATTTATAACCTTTCAAAGATTGTTATCAAATTTAATTTATCCGTCATTGGTTAGTTCCGCAGCTTTCAAGAACGCACAGATTCTTGATTGAATAATGATAAATTCGGTTATTCGTTAAATTGGGTGCATTTGGATAGGCCATCAGAAACAGAGAATGCGCAGATCTTTATAGTATGAACATCTAAAGGAATAGCTAAGTTTGAGCCAAAACTTCAATGATTTTTGTTTACGTTACTTATATAATTCAAAGACAATAGAAGCTTATCGTAACCTCATACAGTTTGTAGACCTTGAAACATAAACAAAATACGCATTAAATGAAACAGCTGATTTACGTACGGTTTAAGTGCCTTTTACGTTCATCATAACCTCTGCGTTCGCGTCATCTGCAAGCCAGAGAGATTGCGGCTTTAAACAAAGTTATCATCGCGAAGTCGTGGCACTTTTTTGATATTTTGACAGAACTTGTTTCCTGCCGGCTTTCCAATTCAGCGTAAAAGTTACTGAACGAAGGCGACATAAAGGGCACTAAATTGGGACGAAGCTACCCGCCGCTCTCCCACTAATCGAGTTGCTGCTTTGCTTAACTAGCCACTTGTAGCAGCGAGCAATTTCATCCTTACGAAGCGCCATCAAGCAAGGACACGCTACGGCCGTACTGCCTTCTACATAGTGAAAGCTACGGGATAGTTTCTTCTCACCGACTAAACGCAGCTTGAGCATCGAATACGAGTGTTCTTTGTATAGTAGGAAAAATAATTTGGCATTACTCGTTGTCTTAAACTATGGACAGCGCCAACATTGCTTTTTTGTTATTATTCACGACTACTGGTGACTGGAGCGACGTACCCTAACGTGTTTTAGACCTCAAGCGCTAGTTCGTTAGTAGAGCTTCGAATTTTTAGGTGCATAAATGCAACCATTTAAGTTTTGTACATGTTATAGAGAAGAGTTATTTGAGGCTATGCGTGAACATGCGCAAATCGATGTGTGCATCGTCGATTAAACTCTCTTCCTGGTTTCGCACAAACATCCTCCGCATTAGGTAGATGCTGCTTTAAGGGAACTATCCCCTTCAGTCGGTTTTTTCAATGGAAGTCACGTGTGTCTTTAATAAAACCACAGGCTTTGCACAGACGTGCCTCCTAAATGAAGGAGTCCGGTATAGACTCTGTCTAGCCCTAACATGCCCGCAACAATTGTGGGAAACAAAAAGGCATAAGGTCATATGTTCGTATGCGGCGAGTCTAGTAAAAAAAATCTGTCCGACACACACAAACGTGTAACTTTGAGTGTCACTCAACGTTTAACGCCAGTTTGTTTTGCTATCTTGTGGTACCTTTAATAGTAAACATCTTTGGTGGTATAGGATATAATATATTCTATGGTAGTAGATCATGGGTTATTTTTGGCGCGTCCACCGCCAGGTGTAACGTAGATTGCGCCCGATTTTTCTGCTGTTAAAATATTGTTGGCGCTAAGAACTTAGCATCAACTGTTGTTTCTGCTGTCACCGCAGACTTATGTGGCCGTAAGCAGGACTGTAGTGTCCAACGACAGAATGCGGAAGGGAACGAAAAGCGACCGACTAAGGAAAAGGCCGGGAGAGAGAGAAGGAAAACAAAGAATCATAGAATGAAAAAAAGAGGCGGATAACGGGACCACAAAACGCGGAGGCTGCTTCGCTTAGAGCCATACGTACAGTAGAGCGTACATACCGCGGGCAGCTTATAGTAGAATAGCGGATTGCGTGAATTACACTGCTACTGCTACTGTGCTACGTAAAATAGGGTGATTTAGGTTTTCAGTGCAGTAAGCAATGTGTCCCAAAGATGCATCGCCATAGGGTCCTTGTTACCAAACGGCGGAACCGCCAATGACTACTGCTTTTTCAAGACTACGTAACCCATGAGCGCTGAGTAGAACGGCAATTTCTATTCACTCCATACATCGCAGTGATGCGCCATGTGTACTGTGCGCTGGCAATCCCGATGCTCAGTCAGCTGATGTGCGGCCGTCTCTTAGAGGAACGAGGAACGGCTCACTTTATCCTTCTCTGGGTTTCTACCGCACTTTATTGTCGACCGCAGTTAGTTCAAGTGGAAGAAGGAGCTCCTGAGTTTGGCAGCCGCTAGTGCCGGCAACTAAAAGGCCGTAGGCGCCCTTCAGCGGTAGAAAACAGTCAGCTTCTAGTCGCGAAAGTACAGCGCGGCAGGACACGCATACACAGCTAGCTAACGGAGCCGTACGCACAGACTGAGCTTTGCGATATGCCAATTGTCTCAATTTTTGCCAGTTTAAGGGTGGAACCAAGCGGAGGTACACGATAGCTAGATCTGTAACTCCGCTCATTGAGAGTAGTACCACTTCTGAGTGGAAAATGGGTAATACAGACGAATCGTCATGGTTACGAGAGGAAGAGAGAACTGGAAAAATAGCAGTGATGAAGCAAGGGCAACCGGGTGAGTATCATGGGGCCATGCACAGTCGCTCATGTCACATCTCTCATCGCAAATCCTAATCCTGCCTCTTGTTTTCATAGAAATGACACTAGTTTTCATCACAATCAGTGGTGTTCGTAGAGAAGGACTGAAATTAATGAAAGGAAAAAGGCGGCATGCAGACGAGAAATAAAGAATAAGAATAACGTTAGATATTTAATAGTTTATTGTTACTTTTGTGATTACTATGATAATACAATGGTACTTCTACTGCCTAATTATGACAAAAAATTGTCTTAGAGGTCATTGATGTCACTAGTTATAACTGGATCGATAAAAACGTTTGCCTTGACATAAATATCATTATGTAACAGACAAAGCCCTTTAGTATGATAATTAAAACAGAATAGCTGAGGCATAGCATTTATAATAATGGAAAAGAAACAAACCGAATATGCAAACAATGCTTCATATATACAATAATATAATGGCGATAGGCGCCTACGATAGCGATTCGAGAGTAGCGCTGTATATGTGGCATCTGGATTACGTTCGTGCTTCAATCTTAGCCACCAACGAAAAAAAAATGGTTGACGTTGGATCAACCATACCACACATGACGATGTTACTTCCTAACTATGTAAACCCAGCAAGTCCGGTAGCCAGAGCATACTAAATAATTACTATCAGTTGTATGATCCTCAGTTCATTACTAAAAAAAAAAAAGCAAATTACTAGTTCTATTCGGTCGCCACACCTAAACATGAGTGGTTTCCAATATTGATTGATGCTGATGACCTTATTTTTCACCTATGCCTCTTTGCCCCTATTCCTTTTGCTGTTTCCAGGTTACAAAATCGAGGATGTGCTTCCAGGTGCCGAGTATACGTTCAGCATTTTCGATGGTAGCGCAAGCAATGTACCGGTTTGGATGGGTTCTCAAGACTCTGAGCCCGAGGTGCCTTATAACCTCAGCGTCCAACAGAGCGACTCAGATAAAGCTGCAACAATCCTTTACGACCCACCAGCTAACGGAGGGCATACAGGATTCAGGTAGTTAGACATTATTGAATAAGCCACAGATATTTACGTATATATAATTTAGCTACAAAGCGATTGTGAAGACTTCTACCCGAACAATAGTAAAAGAGAAGTCAACTAAGGTGTTTAATTTGGCCATATTTCGGTTTCAGAGAACCTCAATTACGAGGCTAGATAAGAAGTATCGGTAAGGAAGGCGTACTGGTTTAATAAAAATACGATTAAAGTCTATTGGAATTGAACCCATAGAGAAATCATAGAGATGTCAAACGAACAATCTTTCCCGACACATTCCTTGATGGTACTACGTGCCGACTAGACGTATTGCCTTTTCACTTACGTAAGGTGACTGATACTATCTGCAAAAAAACCTTGCAAATCAAGAGTCCTAGGCAATTTCCTATTCCTTCCGCCGTGTACTGTCTGGGATTTCTGACATACATTTTGCAGGATCTTGCCTGTGCCGCTCCGTGTCGCGTCGTATTGAGAGTTGGCAGTCCTCCACTAAACTTCGAATGATGAAGAGATATTTAAATGGGACGAAGCATTGCGAAGCGTAGCAGAAGCATTGTGTTACCTCGGATAGCCTATTCTTGGTATTCTAGGGATAACTCGCACTCAGAATACGTCGACAAAAAGCGTTATCGCACTTATCCAAGCGTCGCCGAGTTTTATTCTGTCGTCCATGCAGAACTTCTAAGAACCTGTACCACCTGTTTCAATCTTACCGATATCCTAGACAATCTTTACAACAAAAATCACGGATTTTTGTAATTCTTATTCATCTATCAAAAAATGACGGAGCATCTGGCAGTCGAACATAGAGCGATGTAAGCGCCAAACTGGTAGCATCGATTTATACCTATGGCCATTTTGGCGGCTGGAATAATCAACAACTTTATGATGATTTGGGGCATAAGAGCTGTTCTAATCTCTCTACTGCTTTTCATCTCAAATATGTAAGTAAGACACGTTTATTAATTGTTTGCCACATTTGTGGCAATACATTCCGTCTGTAGATGACCGACCATTACATATGAAACTTTGTCGAACGAGCTATCCCGCCCAGCTTTGCATATTGGCTATCCGTGTTCCTTCCAGTTTTTCCTTAGCATAGTCATTCGTCTCGAAAAGTTTTTCATCTCTCATCGACGATCACTTATTACAGGTTCCACTCGATACCCTAAAATATGCCCCCAAACACACATTTGCAAACTAATGTGTTTGAATTGTATTTAAAATTGGACGAGACATTACCTTTTAGGCAAACTGGCAATATGTAGGTTCTATTTAATCCGGCTCTGTAAGCAATTTAATTCAGGGGTTTAATCATCATGGGGAGCAGATAAAGCTGTGTACCAGCTATTACTCTAAATAGCACATTTGCAAGTCAAGCAGACGTTTGTAAAAGACTACCGGGAATTTTTTGGTCCTAAATGGTTGACCGGAGGACCTGGCCCTGCCAGCATTATAATAGCTAAGGACATTAAGGGTAAGAGATTGATACCTTTTTATCCCACATCGATCGTAAAAATGTACGTTAAATTAGCATTTGTGTCAATGCCTATCTTACTCAATTTATTGTAGTGGCACACACTCCTAAAACGGATTCCGTGAAACGTAATATAGAGATCCGACTCGAACCATATTGAGAGTTACGGTCGCTTACGTGTTCGTTATAAATTATGAGCGAACAGAAAAGAAGAACGTTAGATTTTCATGTTTGTATTGTTGTGTCCAGGAGATCGATCGAGATATCCACGATGTACGCTATCTAGATCTCAAATATATGCGGGCATACGTCAGAGATGATGTGTTGTTCACTTTGTATCCTAAGGACTCGCGGACACTTCAGGTCGGCGGCATTAGGTACCTAAGCTTTCCTCACGAGGGACTTGTTATTGCATATCGTAAGAGTTGAAAATGGTTGAAAACTTGTTGATTTGTCAGCCATCTTTATGGAGTCCGTAACACATGCGCATGTATATGTTACTGTGCGTCCGGTTTTAGCTCGTAGATCTGTATGACCGTGCTTATAATAATTTTTCGCTTGCTTTCTCTTCCTCGTTCTAACTCTATCTATTCGCGTTTATCACGTCATAATGGCCCTCGGGAGGCGAGGGCCAAATGCCCTTTAATGCTATACCCCGGCTTCCCGGGACTTGTAAATTGTTGTGTCAGGGATGCGGCAAAATCCGCCACACCTTTAGTGCCGACGGCTTGATTTCTGAATAGCGACCTGACGGAATCTAGCATCGCTGAAATCGACCCAAATTGCCCAAATGAACGTTAGTGCGTGCGTGAACCGTGTGAGGTGAAGGCTTGCACCTGCGTTATCTCTGTATCTGGCTAGAGGCAAGAGAGATCACACTGGTATGAAGACTGTAGAGGGTATGGTGCTGGCGCCGACGGCGGGCGATCACACAGCGTCCGAATGAGTGAAGCAGCGAGCAAAAGTGTTTTAACGCTACAGTCCGTATGTGGTCGTCGGAGAGATACGCAGTCCTAATGAATGAAACAAATCGCGCATATCACGGAATGATTCGCTTCGGCCAAACTAATCGCAGGCACAGACGGACCTATTCTACAAGGAGTCAATGAGTGACTCTAAAAGTAGCACGATTTAAGAAAGACTGTGGACGACGCCATGTCTATCTGTCCATCAGGCCCGCTAGCAATAGGCATATGTTTGTGTACTCATCGTCTGCATAAATACCAAGAGTGAGCGTAAGCAAAGCACAAGCGTATTCACTCATGATTTCTCCTACATGAAGCTGGAGGAGCAATTCGTAAGGAAATTGCTAGCTGGCGTCCAAGATCCGGACGCTTGTTCGGCTGTTTAATTCTGCATCGGTTTTGGTTTATCTGATTTTAACTCGCTTTTCAAGTGCTTTTGCCTGCGAAAAGCACATTTAGCGTGACAGAAAAGCCACCGTGATGTATCGCTACGAGATTTTTTTATTTTCAGTTTTTGTCGCAGCTTTGAAATTCGGTCAGATCCATGATCGGTCACTTCAATAGCAGTTGACGAAAACGTGCCTCTTTTCCAGACATTAGTCTTGGGTCAAACTTTTCTCCGTTACTTCCGCTTTTGCTAACCTGAGATATTCTGATTTGAAAATTACAATCTTTGAAATATTCTGTTATCTTTTGATTATGGTCTCCGTGTTCGAAGTATCCCGACTGACAACGTCTCCTGCACACATCCGCTAGTCTGTAACGTCCCATTATAAATACAAGTATCAATAACTCCATCTATTCCTGCTGATCGGGCGCGCCTGCTTTATACACAATATACAGCGTTCGTAGAAAATGGTATTTCACTAATCGGGCAAATCACGGAGCGCAGTATAACACCTCTGTAGCATCGCACCGATGCTATCAGAGGCGACCGCAACAGGAATAACCTAAGTTTAAAAGGAATTATTCTGATCTTGTTGGTCTGTTCGTTCTTGCTTACCGCCGTACCACCACTTGCCTATTAGTTCTTATCGAGGCAGCATCATGAGAAGTTTCACCGTGGAGTTTCTGCAGTCATTGTTCACGCCCTAAAGCGGTAATTCGTGACAATCTGATTTTGATCTGCAGATTGACACTTCCTTTTCTATGGCAACATTTCGACTATATAATGATGTCTTCTCTATATAATAACGGCGGTAGTAATTTGGTGATAGGTGACGGGTACCCAAGCAGAAGCCATAGTACAAACCTGAAGGTCTGTTCAAGGATAACCCACACAAAGTCCTGCTTTCTGCTGCTTCGGTTCTGATCTCGTTTGATCTAACCCCGTCTTGAACTGTCCGTTCATACCATGCTCAACGGATGTCAGAGCTTTAGCGAAGAGGAGACCCTTTGACTGGGTTGAATTCCCATTTTTTTTTACGGATTAGGCGAAGCTTCTCCCTTAATACAATAAAGCTTTTGCGGAACCGTTATCGACGCTGTTTGTTGTGGATGACCCGCAATCAGAATAGCGAGCCGTAAACCGTCGATTTTACTGTTGCCAGATCGCTGAACTGTGCGAATAAACATTAAAAGTGAACGAACAACGTACGTACAACGCAGTATCTAAATGCGAAATTTATCGGCATATAGAGCTAAAATGAATTTGTAGCATGTATTTTTAAATGACTATTGACGTCAATCACGTGTCGCTTTATTTACGGAATCACCGATAGGATCCATAGTATAAGCCTAAAGATTATTATAACGATTTGTGACTTTACGTTTGCACGTCGTACTAGAGAAACGCTATGAATAGGCGTAAGCTTAAACGGATTGTGCTCAGCGCAGGACGACTAGGGCCAACAAACAGACTATGCGTACCTTATGGAACGGGGCGATAAGGTTGAGATTCGAAACTTTCAAGCTGTAAATATTAAAACTAAATACTTCCATTAAGCTAGCTGCGGGACTTGACAAACATGGTTCTTTTCCATCCACTGGCTAATGATACCCTACTTACGATAATAACTGAGCTATTTCCAAATACGGCATTTGCGATACGAGTGAAATGGCTGCACATATGTTTCATGAGATCGTCAACTCATCACGCTTCAGTAAACTACTCGTGACGTTAATTTAGGAATATCTAACTTATTCAATGACCATTCGTAAGGCCGTACAGGTCAATCTTACGTCTTTGTAAACCTACTGACAGATCAGATCTCATTTTAAGTTCCTATAAGTAATCCTAGACGGAAATACGTGCTTCTTGTGTTGTATTTGCCTCAACACGCTGATATGCTTATTTTATAACGTGCCTTTGCAACGCGACATTACTGTCATCACTATCTGAACAACTTTATAACGTACGAGTCTTCATAACGTACATACTTAGAACATATGGATCCAGTTATATCCAGTCACTCCAACAGAGCAGCGATCGTTCTGACGATCCGAAGCTGAAAATTGATGTCTCGCGTTATTTCTTTGATCAGCTGTAACTCTGCTAACCATTTCTCCACCGTCGCAAGATAGCGCTTCCGCTGAGCGCACCTAATATTTCCTTTGCTCTCAACCAAACTAACTTCCACAGAAAGACAACGAATCGAGTTAATTTAGGTTAAGTTAGGCACACATGATTATATACATCATGTTAAAAACTGCTGGAGGAAAAAGGAACGATCCCGACTACAAGTCGCGATTGGCATCTTGTACAGTTGAATTTCTGCTTAGTTAACGAAATACGCTCAGACAGCTCTATATTAGTTTCATTAGCTTGACGCTTTTAATTTGTCTATATTTCCTAATTAATTGCACGCGCGTGCCCTTAACCCTTGAACGCAGTATTCGAGTCGAGTGAAGCACCAGTTGGACAGAACTTTATTATAGGTAAGCCGTTACCGTCCGTTGACCGCAAGCCACTTTTCACCATCCACGAGCGTATATCTCATTGGAAAAGGAACAAGGAGATCGACCCGTAGCCTCTGAATGTTTTCAAAGCCCAGGTCGATTTTTTTAAATTTAATTTAATAGACAGTGTTATCTGACTCGGCAAGCGAAACGTCTTACCATACGCAGGCGATCACAGCGTTTGGGTACCCACTATAGCTTCTATACCTTTTTTTGCAGTAATTACGGCTGCCGTTAACAGTATTTTTGCACGCTAATGACTTCAATAACTAAATCTATTTTTATTCTGCCATGTTCCATTTGCAGATTAACAATAGCACCCGAATGCACAACCGATGAGGGTGGGATTCGAACTCAAAATTTGCCAGCAGCGCCCACTGATGGCGGGCCTGGAATCACCGGAGGAGCTAGGCCCCCGGAACGAATGGCTATCGTCCGGGATTTGACGCCCGGCTGCACGTACGAGGCTCAGCTCTATGCGGTGTTCAAGGAAAAAGAGTCGTCGCAATTTTTATCATTCAACTTCACAACGAGTAAGCGGACTATTCTGAAATCGATAGAATAGAAATATTCACAAACAATCACGAAAATTATCATTCGTTGTCAAATCATGTTTCATTTTTAGAGATTCAAGTTTTTTCCTAGCATCGTTCGCTTTTCGTTGAATATATGAGGTACAATGTGGTAGAACGATGTCACGCTATGTAACAATAGGTAACGGTAGATATTATAAAAGCAGAACGAATTTCATAAGAGGTATTCCCTTCTCTGAATAATGAATATTGCTGAGTAGTCTAACTGTTAAGTACTGTAACGTGAAGCTGAGTTAACGCGTCCAACGTAAATGCTGGTGAACTTTACTAGTTAGCGGACGAGCCTATTAGAAAACCCTCTTGCTCAGCAGTACTCAGCAGTATCAGTAGAAGTACCATTATACGCTAATGTATTCTCTAACGATAGCTTAAACATATATTGTCCTTCGAAGGCCATTAGAATTTTTTGTGTCGTTTCGTCCCCTTTTTTGGGCTTCTTTAGATGTTAATGAACATACTCATATAATAGTTATTTTCGCGTGTTTTCCTATATATATATATATATAAATATAATAGTGCTTTCGCGCGGGTTCGGTCCCTAACTTTTGACGTGCATAGTCTACACCACTTCATAATTTCGTTGTCGTTGGCAACGCGAAGTGGTCCGGTGGGATCCATGCGTGCGTCTTCAAATTCACAATTGTAGCTCTACAAGCAGTTGTTTGCATTCTGAGGTAAATTTGTCCTAAATTTTTTCTTCTAATACCGTTTAATAATTTCGTCTCGTAAGCGGCGCAATAATTTGTTTGATTTCGTTGTGTTTGTAAAAAAAAATAATAATAATAACTTTTTACGTTACTCCATTTTCAGCAGTGTATGTATGCAATAGCGAGCGCCCTATTTCTATTTGTTGTCGCTCTACTTGCGTTTGGCTATCGCACCTTCGAACAGAATTCGATTTCGGAGAACATTTTGATTCTACGACTGTTATTATGTACCTCCTTTACTGCTTGTACCCGGTTTAGTTGGCTTACGAAGGGTTCCTTTGCCCAGTATTAGTATCATTATTTAATTAACTGGACTGCATCGACATTGAGAAGAACAAGTAACGAAAACGGTTCATCTGAAGGCAAATTTTGTACAAGCCTGCACAATACTAACGGCCGTATGCGATAGCTTTCCTCCCCCCCACCCTCGCTTCATCTTAATGTGGCCTGCGCGCTAGTCTTTCGTAGGAACGAGAGCACGTGCACCTTTACCACGATAGCATCACCAAGCTTGCATATGTGGTTGGTAACGTGGTGGCCGGATGTGAGCTGGAACGAATAAAGGTTAGCAGGTACTCGCGGGGTGACAGCTGGCAATTCCGCTTGGTAGTAGGCCCCCCGTTGTAGAGTACAGCAAGCAAGCAAGCGAACAGGTTGACCTGGGAGCCTAGAGGAATGGACGAAAGCTCGGGAAACGCGGCGTAACGAACGGGAAGTAGATTAGAAGTAGTAAAGCCGTTAGATTGGGAAAGATGAAGGATGGTTACTCAGGAAAATGGGGTTTGTACCCCCAGCTGTCTGTTTACTTGTGTTTCACGCACGAGCTCCACCTTGGAGCTAAAGACTGTTCAGGCAGAAGCGGCCGGAAGCGGAAAAGGCTGCTCTCGATAATGGCACCGGCCATATTTTGCCAGGTAGATCGCAGACAGTGAGAAAGCAGTGAAACGCTGCGCCCATAACCGACCGTTGAACTGTGGTTATCATCTATATAACAACGTGATTATTTTTATCGTTAAAAAAAAAATGTAGTTAAGCTCTTAGTTGATACAGACAGAGATTCTGTGATGACACGCCGCTCAGTTTTGTCACGCTACCACTGATCTTGTCTGAAAGCAAGGGTCTGATAAGGGAGGATGGACGTGAGACAGGCTAGTAGAATATTGCTTTAAATTCTCTAGAAGTATTTAGACGCGTTTTGGAGTAGTTTTAAAATGAACAGGTAAGATTTTGGTTGTCTTGTAAGGTGCTGTCTGCGGACTAACTTGGTAGAATGGGAAAAGAAAGAGTGACATAATTATTCGACAACACAACCTAAAACAGGTTCTCTTAGTTTTAATTGCTACATAAATATCTGCGATACAAAGCGGATAACTACAGTAAATATTCGATAACTCCTTAAATAAAGTATTAAGTACTTAATTAGCTATCGCGGAAGTACAATTTGTTCACAATAAAACGAATGCATTTCTGGGTTTTGGTGCGGCCTAAAGGCTTAGTCATATACTTCTTGTTTATTGAGATAGCTTATAGTATACTGAGCTGTTTAATTTGCTTTTCGGTGTTTATTCTGTGTTATTACGTGTGTGTTTACCTGTGTGTGCATACTGTGAAATTACAATGACTTTCAGGACCAAATGCTCCGGGTCGTTTCATTGTTTGGTTCAGGAACGAGACAACTCTACTGGTTCTCTGGCAGCCACCCTACCCTAGCGGCGTATTTGACAAATATAAGGTAAAGAAACAGGACGTTAACCCACTACATGAGAACTATACCATAACCTCGCATATTAACCGGCCGGGTACGTGTGGGTCACATAAGTGTACCGACTGGACCCAAAGTGACCCTGAAAATTACTTATTGTTGATTAAGTTTTTGACTAGACAGCATTTGACAAGATGGATTTATGCATACCAGTGCTACATGTAACGTTGACTAAATATAGACTATACTTGTCTAGAGTTTTATGCGATACAGTTGATCTGACTAATATTTACGTCTGTATAGAATGCTGGCTCTAACGCGTCGCGTACACCGACGCTTTGATGCAGCCATTGACAAGTCAGCTTGTTCAATTGAACAAAAGGATTTATCTGCCGGTTTCCTGTTTCTCATTTGTTGTAAACTTTAACATAAAGGGCGATTCGCAGAAATTTTAATCGGCCTGCTTCCAGTCTGTTATTCAGCTGTTCCAAACAGGTCCGAATAAACGAATCGAAAGGCTGTTATCGAATAAAATATCCATTGCAAGCGTCGTGTGGACGACGTTCGGTTTCACACCGAATCCTTAGCCTCTAATCCGAACAGAAAAGGTAGGAGAACATATTTTGCTCTACGCCAAACTCACGACCAACAATAGCCAAGTGGCAGGTTATTGGTTGGCGATAGAATGATATATATCTAACAGCAGAACCTGATTGACATTGGTGTAGAGAGATCTGATGAAGGTAGACTGGCAAGACTCCGCCTTAGCATTATGTAGGCCTGTAAAGCTGGTAAATAAACACTGTTATGATGACACTGAGCTGCGGTTTGACCCACTAATGATTATTTCTAGTCTAAAATCTAAAAAAAAATCGGCTTAGCTTTATTAAATCCAAGTCTAAGGCAAAAATCAGCGTCAGTTTCCCGTGCGCCCATTACACCTTTCAGCTCGCCGCTTCTACAGTCGGCTTCAGACGACCAGTTAAATTGCTTGTAAAAAAAAATGTAAATACGAGTATCTTGCGTACTGCTACTAGTATACTGGGATAAATTACATGGTGCAAACGTTCAAGTTACCGATGTGCGCTTCAACAGACGATTCGTGACAAGCTGGCTTCATTAAAAAGCCGCCAGCCTTTCGTATCCTGATCTATGATGGTCTGCAGTTAAACATGGCTTCAGCATGACAGCCGCCTTGGGCTATATGCGTATTACACAAGAATCAATTTCTGCTTGTTAGTAGCTCGTTGAAAAGAAAACCTGGGCAAACCATTTCAAAGCTAATCACGCTACCCGATTTCTACGTTCTTCATTACTTGAAACCGTGTAGGCAAAACTCCACCGAGGAAAAGCCTCGTTCACTCGTAATATCCTCTTAGACTGCAATTCTCTAAAAAAAAAAAAAAGAATGCTTTTGTTGGGCTATTTGTAGATACGGAATTACGAGTAAGCCTAGCTAGGTATTCTATAGAGGCCCCAATCTTCCATACTAGGTACTGCAAATGTATTATTAAGAATAATTTGTTGGGAGGCATTTTTTAGACCGCATAGATAATTGAAGGCGGCCTGTGACGAAATTAACGGGACATAGATGTGAAATTACACAATCGACCCAGAATGTCATTAATACAAATCTAGGCCCCGTTTAACTAAATACAGAAGTCTCTTGATCGATACTCAAACGTTTGTGTGTGTATGCGTGTAGGACTGAATATTATTATCTATTTCCTAAAAACATAGACTAAGGAAGTTGTACATCTAGTATGACCGCGATTCAGTTTTACAGCAGTGCGCATTTGCCAAATCCGATCGATAAAGGAAAATTACAATATTTAACCACTTAACACTGGGCACCCAGATTTCAACATTGTAATCAAACGACCATTTGTTCATCATCGCATGTGCCTGCAGGTCTCAATCTACCCAGCGGACTCACCGCAGAGTGTCCTATTCGTGGAAAAGGATAACGATCCACCCGGTCCGGCTCAGGCAGCGTTTTACGGATTAGTTCCGGGGCGTGCGTATAACATTTCCGTACAGACCGTTTCTAAAGACGTGGTATCTCAGCCTACAGATGCTCAATATAGAACAGGTAAAAACACATAGTCTAGCAATACGAATAGCATTGAATCTAAATGTAATGTGTATATCTAATCGTGCTTATATAATCGTATGAACACATGTTAGTCTCTTTCCTTCTTACGTATTTCGACAGTTCTACGTGCTACTGATGATGAATCTTTTTCGTATCGACCCAATTACTTCTGACCAGGTATCAATGCACGTTCCACGAAAAAAAAAGACATATAATTATCTCATTATCTTCCACGTACTCTATACAGTGTTTATATACGCGTGTACGTAAGGTTAAACGGGTAAAGCCGTGGGTAACAATACGCGATCGACTGAAAGCGTATTATTGCCAGCTGGGTGGTATACCACATTCTTTTACCTCAAGTCTGTTTAGACTAATTAAGTTCACCGTGATAGCAAACGCCACCTACTGCACGCAGGGCGCGCGAGACTCAAGAGCACGAAAACCTCTTGTGTCTTCGTTTACTTACTACACGATTATTCGAAACTACAGCGTACTACTGCGCATATCTTATAACGCGTAGATGAATATTTACCAAAGGCCGTGCCCCTAGCTCCACTAAATAACTTCAGTCTACCACCTGTGATTCTTCGTAGCATATCCATGCGTGGACATGTTATCCTATCTTGATGTTGCTAGTGCTACTTGCAGTTTTCCTATTTTTTTTCTCTACTTTCAAAGGCGAACCTGTTCCAGTTTCCCGCCGCTTTATTTTGCCACCGCTGCTGCTGCTGCTTAAAGCTATAAACATTTACGCGTTAGGAGAGTTTACGCCTCCAACTGGAATGGAACAGTTACAAACGCCGCTGTTGGTAAAAGCAGCAGTCGCCGATTTCGGTCAAGAACCTAACTTCTATGGTAACCTAAGAGGCAAGCCTCTTACTAACTTCGAGTGAACGGTGGCGCCGGCGCAGAATGTGGCAGAGTCCGAAACGGGTCCTTGGCCGTTAATTGGCTAGAGTAACCCTTCGAAAAGGAAATCTCCAACCAAGTACCACTTCAATGTTAGGCCAGCGGGAGACTGAAAAGAAGAAGTGGCCTTATGGATATCTCTTGTGTGTCCACCTCAGCAATCACCAGTAGCCTAGCGTCCCACAGCAGTCACAACTGAGGAATGCTACGCACGCTTGTGTAGTGGGTTTGAAATTTAACGTGAACGTTCATTACGTCTCATGTTCCCTATGTTAGATGAGCGGGTGACGATTCTGTGATGATTTTGAAAAAAAGAAGGATAAGGCGAGAGTGAGAGAGAAAAAGCGTCCATGTATCCAACCCGTAGTTCTTAGACACGTGCACTAGGATACTGGGTCGAAAGTTTTACCCTCCAAAAACATAGTAGGAATATATATTGGCGCAGTTATTGGTACGCACTACGTGGTTCTTATCGTGTAGTGGTGTTTTTGTTGTTCCAAAATTCGGGGAACCTTCATTAACTGGACTGATATAGGTGGACGCACAGAGTATGACGACCTGACTAAATAATTCGTTTCTGGGAAACGTCCTGTCGCTTAGCAGGTAGCTTAAGGGCAAAGCTGTGTAAAAATCCGGTTGCTTTTTTTCGATGGCCTATTCAAATGAGCTTTAACGAGAAGCTGGACATTCGAAGCTTCTGATGTTGTTGCCTTTTGCTTGTTGGCTATCATCTGCACTGGTCATCAATAAAGTGTTGTTAGAACAGTGATGAACAATTCGCATTGTTTCAAGAAATAAGTAGAGAATAAGCCTTTATTTAAAAAAAAAATCATTATTTATAGAAGTATGGCGTAGCAGTTCCGTAAAAAATCAGGCTTATTAGTCCTAAGGACCAACTGCGAAGTTTAAAGTCAAGCTAAAAGTGCTGAGTGATGGAAAATACCGAATCGAGAGGATCTATACTTTTAAGGCCGATCTGATTAGGTTATAGCAATAATTGGGCCTAATTTGTAGTCTTCGATACTATCATATGGAGTTACCGAATTGTTTTCGTATCTATCATATTTGCATTCGTGAATCTACTGGGTTTGAAAAGTAGTAACAGACAACAGCAGAATTACGTGACTCGAAAATTGTTTTAATTTTTAAATACGTTGGTTTTAGAATTAACGTCGAAAATGATTTCACTATTTGTCGCTATATTATTCAATCCGCAACTTTATCTTTTGCAGTTCCACTACCGCCTACCAATGTTACCTTCGATGTGGGAAAAGTGACCACACGATCCTTTGATGTCCATTGGTCGCCACCGAAGTCCTTCTCAGAGTTTGATCGTTACCAAGTGGCGCTAAGCGCTCGACATTCGCTTCGCCAGGTCGTCGGAAAGGACGAAGACCGGCGAGCAAGATTTGACGAGGACATTCGCGCCGGGGAAAGCTACGAAGTTTTGGTGAAGACGGTATCTGGAAATGTTGTTTCGTGGCCAGTTACGGGCAACATTACCACACGTAAGTAAATTATGGTATTAAAAATATTTTCGTGTTGTCCATATATATATATATATATATATATATATATAGAGCAAACATTATGTAGGAGAGTGATTGCGTTCTTCTTGAAATAGAAATCATTCACTCAAGCAATACATTGCAGTTGTACAGCGCATTGTCAGCTCCCATGAGAGCTCTATTAGTTAGCAGTGATCAGCAAGTTTTATAATGTTTACTGTGAGTATATATATATACATATGTGTGTATATACATACCCGGAGGACTATCTGAACTAATCTTTTTCGATGCAATGGAACAGGACCGCTGTCGGTTTTATCCGTAAATGGGACGGCAAAGGAGTCCGGAGAGATTTTCTTGGAGTGGACGCCGGCTAGAAATTCAACTCAGGATAGTTACAAGGTGCGCTATAATGAGCTCGAGAACTATCAAAGTGATAATGTACAGATCGTTACGAACACATCGTTTCTTCTTCACGATCTCCTGCGAGGACGCAACTATTCTCTGTCGGTGACTGCCGTCAGTCGAGGAATGGAAAGCGAACCATTCACTGTTTATCAGGCCACACGTGAGTACTAACCAGTTTCAGACCCAGATATTTGAGCAGGGCTTGCCAAACTTTTAGCTGCCACATGAACTTCGTCAATGTTAATCAGAATATATACATGTATATATGTGTATATATCAACGGTTACGAACTCGACTAAATAAGCGTTATACGATAATATATACCTATGATCATTTCGTAAAATCAGAGCAGGTATGTAGCAATGTAGGATTTATTACTTGCCTCCTGTGGAGCATTTGGCGCAATTATTGTAGCTGATAGGTCACTATACTATTAAACAGCTATGCTTAACAATTTGCTCGATGTTTTCCTCTAATATAGTACGCTGTTTTTAAAATAAGCTCGATCAATGCATTTTTCTTCTGCAGTAAACCCATCATTGAAACCAGCTATGTATTGGGCACAGTAAACAGAATGATGATTCCCACTTGACCCTTGCGAGCTCTTTGCTCTTCTTGTTTATTTATGAATATGGTACTAAACTAATTCTAATTTAGATCTATTCAATATGTCCTGTTAGTTAAGAGAGTACATTAGACCGCAGTTTCATATGATGTTACTGCTATCGAATCATACAGGCAGCCGTAGGTTATAACAGTAACATGCTCAATCCGTTCAGATGTCACACTGCAGTTAGGTACACTGCGAATTAGCGAAATTGAGTCTTCATGTTATAAATTTTCCGAGTATCAATTCCTAGATTTTTTTTTTGCTAGTCATCGTTCTGTCTGCTCAATCGTCACAAACTACAGTGTCACAGTGAACATCTTGCGAGCCAGTAACGCTTTTGCTGTGGAAAATAGTTCGATGCTTCTCTAGATCGGTTTTTGCCCCCCGTTCCCGCCTATGAATGCGTACTGCATGAACGAATCAGTCGAATTGGCGCTAGTGGCCATAGCATCTTGAGCTTGATTGCTTTCAGGACCATCGCCTCCTGTCATCGAGTCCCTAGAGCCTTTGAGCGGTCCTGGTGGTTTTCTCAATATCTCGTGGAAGTCCGACGTCACCAGTCGACAAGATTCGTTTGTTGTGGTAAGTTTTTTCCAACATAATCTGCCGTTTTGTTACGCTTTGATACGAAACAATTATACTACGATTTTTAGCGCTAGCTCGAAGTGCGGCTACACTGTTTATTTCATTACCAATATTCTAAATGATTAACAATTGAATTGTTCGGAAAAACCTATATATATATATATCGTTCGTTAAGGTAGCCTTAAACACTTAGAAGTAAGCTTTAGATTTTCTTTGTGAACATCTGCAGGTTCAAATAAACCGGTAAGCACTTACTCGACAAACGCGTACTATGCGCTCTAATAAATAATCTACGGTCCATTATGTGGGACAATTTGTATTTTTTTCACATAATTTGCACATTTTTCTAAATTTCCCCCCTAATACATTTTGTTTTTGCTATAAATGTAAAATTAACGATTAAGCAACTGCTTCCTTGTTGTTTTATGATAGGTTTACACACGAAATGATACGAAGGAACAGCGTCAGGAGACGACGAAGCAAAATTGGCTTGTACTTAAAAATCTATACCCAGGTGCGGGCTACCAGATTAAGGTGTCCGCTATTTCACACGGTCTTTGGTCCGAACCCCACTCGTACTTTCACACTGTCGGTGCGTATTCTCCCTTAATAGGCCGGTCGTAATTATACCCTAATACCGTACAGCTAGAATGATGCCATAGGAAATTACTGAAATGTATTTTTCAATATTTTGATAAAAATCGATAGCACGTAGCTTGCTAATAAGCATCCTTTATTTTGCATGAATTGCGTCACCGCTTTAGATTTTCATGGTCGACCGTTTTGTTTTTTATTGCTTAGTAATCGTCTCCTAAATCGATTTGTGTCATATTGTTCTACCAATCGCTTTCTATCGTTGTAAATCGCCACCTAAACGGAAACTTCTTAAAATAACGTTGTCGATAATCACGTATTTTTACATAATTTTGCATACAATTTTGGATCGTCTTTACAAGCGGTAACAGCTGGGATTGAACAAATTCGCTAGACATTCTGTTGTCTGTGGGGGCTGCATGTATGCCAATTTCCAATAGAGACTTCTTTACCAGCTAGCATCAAGCATACAAAGCGTTAACAAGGTAAATGATCGCGTGCAAGCATTTTGTTCTCCCGCGAACCGCTTTGAATATATACTGCGTACAAACTTCACTACGCACTCATCGGGGAGAGGTCGAGTACATTTGCATAAAAATAATGTCTTCGTTTAGATGAAGTGTCCGTAGTATCCAGCTGGAGGTAAATGAGAAAACGATACCAAGAAATATCACGAAAAAATACACATATTACGTTTTTCTTCGCTTTTTTTCAGTGCCTGACAAGGCACTAGGCCCAGAGTAACGGGTTACCTTGTATGTCTTATGTATATTTATAGGAGCATATGATTTTCTGTGATTGCGTATTGCGCAACCATGCGAACGTTAAAAGAGCTGTATACGTTAGGCTGCGTGTGAACTGTTATTTCAATCCGATTGACTTCACATAGAATGCTACTATATAAGGCTTTTCTTAAATCTAGAAGGTAATTAACTTATAATATATTTAGACTAACTGAACCTAATATATACGTGCTTGTGCGTATATATGGTGTCTAACAATATGTTTTATTATATTTAAAAATATATATATAGGTATATGCTATTATGTGTGTAATAATTACCAAGGCCTAGCAGACGAAAGTCGAATACGTAATATAAGAATTAACCTTTAAAGCCGAAAGTAGAAATCAACCGTGTTTGCTTCGGAATTTCGACTCGGTTAAAATATGCTCTCTCCTTAAACTCATATATATATATACAAATTATTTAAAAAAAACCCTATATATAAGCTGAACTTCGTCTACATCGATCTCGGTTAATGCGTCTGGTACCATCTTCTATGCTAACCAGTATAATAGATTGTATACAGCTGCGACTGCACTAAAAATCCTTTTTGTTTTCCATGGCATTTCGTGTTGATTATCGATATATTCTAGTACAATATACCTTTGACATCTGTTGCCTAGAGTTCATTTTCGACTTTTTGATCCATGCATGGCCCTTCCGTGTTCTTTTCGCCTCTTTCAAAATGCCGGAAAAAATCTACCCATTGATTTTAGTTATTTAACTCTCCTCAGGGCATAAATATGCTTTTCTGCCTCTAAACATCGATAACTAAATGCCTGTACTTCATTTCTACACATTAATTAATATAATCTAATCTAACACTGTTAACGCGCATGCTTCCTTCCGGAGAGTCGAATTCTGAAGGCTTCAATCTGCTTGGTCAAATTAAAGGGTCAAAAAACAAAGGTAATTCTTATGTTACTCGTAGCGTGTAGACTGTGACGAATGAAATGAATTTTCTGTCTATAATAATTTTGTATGTTCTGATTCTCGCAAGCCTTCGTTTTCCTTTAACTTAGAATTCCGTCCCTTTCCGTTTCGAGCAATTTTGTATATCAGCGTTTCCTCCCCCCCCCCCCCGCCCGCCCTGGACGTGTCTCATTCGCCACTTTCATCTTCTAGTGAGTTATACTATCCACACAAAACGCATCGATCATTGTTTTCGAGAGAAGATTCAACAGACATGGGTTTTGTTCCCTTGAAAGAGGAACGTATGTAGCTTCCCTTTGCTTTTATCAAATTTTATTCCCTAGTTGAGCTACTGCTTGCCATCGTCTCTTACACTAGACGCTACCAATTCTTGAACTCGTTTGACGTTCTCCCAAGCTATTCATAACGATGGCTGTGTGAGAGCCCCAGCTTCACGTTGCAATTCTGACCTCCATTGCTATCCTGAGTCCTTGTGCAAAGGAGGCTATCGATAGATTAAAGCAACAACAAACATTTGACTATTGGATCTACCTATATCAAAGAAAACACTCGAGACTGGCTATATAATAAAGTTGGCGTTTTCCGAAATAAAATATGCGTGCTTATCATACTAGTATTTTTTTCCACAAACGTCGAAGTTAGGTCACTTTGCCACACATGAGCCAGTGTGTTTCGTCCCATCCCTATACATTACGTCCCTGTAGCTTTTGTTATGATGTACTTACTACGTTCCCCTTCATCAACGTTAAACGTGGCGATTCACTATATGTGGAGGGTCTTGATCATTTAGGCCTACGGAAAGCTGGTAATTGGGATCATAAACTATAGCAAAACCTTTTGGGTCTGATATACGATTTAGTGGAAAGATAATCTGACGAAGCAGATATCTGTAACCTTCGATGATTGGCGAGCATGCGCATCAGGAAGGCGCTAACTTGAAAAATGGCAAACGAATTTCAAGTAAACAGATCTTCTTGGCAGATGCTTTTGCTATGCTTGTTAAGGTGTGGCTTTACTACCTCTGTTAATATTTGATCGTCTTGTCCTGCGCGGGTCCCCTGGTAATCTCGTACGACTGGCGTATGTCTCCATACCTGTAAAGATGTAGAACTGAAGGATGAAAACGTTGAGCCAAATTGAAAAATTCACTGTAATTAATTTCAATTCAGATTTTTCATAAATTATTAGATATAGTTCAGACTAGTTGCTAAACAAATCGGCTCAGTGAAGCCTATCAGACATTTCTAATTTTTGCTATGTACCCAGCGCTTCCTAGCACAATAAACTCCTTTCTATCAATCTCTTTTTTTAGTCTAAAACATTTATCTTTAATCCTCTATTTAGCATCTCTGAGTTTTTCTGTCCTTTGATGTTTTAGTTAAACGCTCAATCATGTTTCTGTATGCATCTCCCAGAGCGCTATTCCTCTCACCGCCTGACAATGGGAAGAAAAAACCGATCGTGAAATAAATGTTACATCTAGCTTTGGTAAAACATTACTTTTAGCCGCCAGTATGGTTTTAGATGCCACACTTTTGTCGAGACCCCCCCCCCCACCCCAATACCAGTCCGCTATGACCTGTTTAATCGCACAGTTATCACCGTCTATTTTAAGGAAAAATTTGTTGTCTTAGCCAATCGATAAGCCTAATGAGTAAAATCCATATTCCCCGCATATTGTTTTTTGATTGCTCGGACCGGGTTTTGCGTATCTAGTACCGCGTCCGCCAAACAATCTGCTCGTGACGAAAGCTTCAAATACGTCGATGATCCTTACGTGGATTTCTCCCGTGAACTCAATTGTCGATCACTATACAATCATGATACGAGCCTCATCGTCGGAGACGTGGAAGGAACTTGGTATCGTAAATAGCACCACATACGAAATGAACGATCTTGTAGCAGGTGAAAAATACTCTGTGAGAGTAAGTGCTGTCAATAACAAGGCGGAAAGTCAGAACTCGCCCGTCATCGAACAAACTATGTGTGAGTACTTCGTCGAACCTCAACTGTCTTATTAGTACCTTTAACTAGCGTTCATGTATGGCATACAGATATGTTACGGTAAAAGTCACCACAAAAGCTCTATCAAGGCGTACACATTTCTGCAAAACACTTATTATCCAGTACGAAAATTAATAATAGCAGAAATATTTTAAACTTTTGCGCTATATTTTTCACTGTATAATTGATGTCGGTCGAAAATCGCACAATACAATAGTAATAAACATCACATTTTAGTTACTAAATGTATCTATTAAACATAATGCATTATTCCTACAAATCTCTATCTGCAGTAATGACAGACCTTCTAACGTATATCCATGCATGCTGACTTCAGATCCGAACGCCTTAACAGATGTGAAGCATTATGTAGATAGTAAGAACGTGACGTTCAGCTGGGCACGTCCTTCTGGCCGAATCGACTACTATATCGTAGTCTACAATCCCGTGCGAGACCCATTAGCCCATAACTCGCATCAGTTTCCTGCTAACCGAACCCTTGTGGGGGAGCCGGTTTCCGTAGCTATAGAAAACCTCAAACCCGGCGAGTTATATAGCTTCCGCCTCTACTCCGTCAGGTATTTGTTGCTAATGAGATATTTGTTTCAGGTTCAATGTTTCCACAAATACATTTTGCTCTATGGAAATATAAAAAAGAAATACTGTTGTAAATACACTGACAGCGACGACGCATTGTATACGAGTATACCGATTCTATCGGATATCGTCTGCAGACGGTTACTCAATTAACCAATTACTGTCCACTGCTACTTTTATTTCGATATATGTGTTGGTCCACCGCAAATGCTCAGCCATTCGCTGCGGAGCGAGGGCGTTGGCGTCGAGACTCGTACGATGCCCGTTATTGATTCGGTGATTAACATCGTAATCGACGAACATCTAACGAAAACGCTTGGCATCAAATACACGCCGACCCCAGTTCGGAACGTTGTTTTTGACCGCTATCGCTTCCAGTTGCTAAGCTCAACGGGCGATTTTCCGGTGCCGCCAGCGCAAGAGAAGCTTTTTAACGACACTAATCGGCTAGTGGTATTCGATAACCTTATCCCCGGCCACCTCTACAATATCTCCATTTGGACTGTGTCTGGTGGAGTATCTAGCGTTCCCATTTATAGGCATACTCGACTATGTAAGTACGCTTTTCATTATACAATACTTAATTGCTGAAGATGTCCTGTGTGGATAACTGAAGTGCCCTTGGATTCAGTAACCCATGGCTTGTGCCAGCACTATGCCTGGCCAAGCATGACACTATCGAACCTAGCTAGCATTCAATTACATGGAAAATTAGTCATTCACCACATATGATCCTAATATTTTCGACTTTTTCATACTTCTCAGACCCCGATCCAGTGAAGTCTATCCGTGCTTTGACGGTGACCGACACGGAGATCTCTCTAACATGGGAGCATTCTGGAGATGCAATTCCCGGTTCGGGAGATCGTGACGGCTACGAGGTCCAATACCTCGACCATCAGGGCAACCTAGTGCACAACTTCACGCTGATCGAGTCAATAACGTACCTGAATTTAAAGCCGCATCATAACTATACGTTCGTTGTTACCGTCGTGTCGGGCTACGAGACGTCGACCGTCCGTCGGAGTCTGCCGATGTCGCAGACATTCCAGAGTCTGGAAAGTGTACCCGGAAAGGTGCATTATTTCCGCCCGATCGACGTGCGCCCATCGCAGTTAACGCTTGAATGGTCGCTGCCATCGTCAGAGCAGAACGGTGTTCTAACTGGGTACAAGATTTTATACTACTTGAAAGGCAATTCGTACAGCGACAAGTACAATACATTTCCTCCGAATATTACCAACGGTACGATCAGTAACCTCGTGCCCGGCAAAACGTACGTGTTCGAAATACAGGCCCACACAAAGATTGGGCCTGGTGGAAAGGCCCACTGGGAGGAAACAATGCCGATATGGGCGCCGCCCAAACCTTCGGATTCTGTTTATCCGACACTCGTGTCGCATACGGCCACCTCGATTCGTGTCCTTTTCCGTAAGAACTACTTCCAGAACACAAACGGTCCTGTTTTGGCTTATACACTCATTGTTGCTGAGGATGACAGTATAGCCCCCTCACAGAACCCGATGCCCTCGTGGAATGATGTTCAGGGCTTTACGTACTGGCCACCATATCAAGTTATGGAACCGTACTATCCTTTCAATGGGACGATAACAACAGAGGATTTTATTATTGGGACAGAAGATTGCACGGATAAGACGCGTCAACGAACATCAATCTATTGCAACGGACCGCTGAAGCCTGGTAGCCAGTATCGCATAAAGTTACGCGCTTTCACCGGGCCTGATAAATTCACCGACACCACTTGGTCTTATGCTATACAAACCGATCCGGATAATTCTTCGCTGATAGCTGGCATTTTCATACCGCTTACTGTGCTTGTATGCATTGCGCTTATACTATTAGTTCTACGAAAACGACGGATGGCACCATTCAATTCGAAACCACCTCTTAAAAATGACCCAAACACGCACAGGTAAGATACAGGGCCGGACTGGCATCAAGTTCCACCAAACCCACAATCAAATATGGCTGAAACAACTGAAAACGTATTGTATATTATAAATATTCTATTCACATCTCGAACAACTCTTCAAACAACTAGAGCAGTTATGAATGATTTGACAACAGTATTTGTATTATAACTGAAAAACATCATATGACTGCTGCCAGTGCTATCATACCTTTCTAGAATTGGATCCTATATGAACAAACATGAACGATCAATGACATCGTACTGCTAGTTAAAATTTCACAATCTTCCTTCTTTCTATGCGTAGAGAAGTGCGTGTTCGCCCATTGATAAAAAGACTAAATTTTCTGGGTGTTGTATCCCGACTAACGTCAACTAAGCGATAGCGTGTTTTATAGGCACAGCGACCAGCACGGCGGAACTGGAGCTGGGCTGAATCTTCCCGAAGTCGAGGTGATCACCTCACGGCCGGTCAAGTTGGCCCATTTTGCTGAGCATTACCGAATCATGAGCGCCGACTCAGATTTCAGATTCTCGGAGGAGTTTGAATTACTGAAGCACGTCGGACGTGATCGGCCCTGCACGGCCGCTGATTTACCCGTAAATAGGCCAAAGAACCGCTTCACCAATATCCTGCCGTACGATCATTCGCGAGTGAAATTGTTGCCTACTGATGACGAGGAAGGCTCGGATTATATCAACGCCAACTATATTCCGGGCTACAATTCGCCTAGAGAGTTTATCGTAACTCAGGGTCCATTACATTCAACACGCGACGATTTTTGGCGTATGGTCTGGGAGCAGAATTGCCGAGCGATCGTCATGTTAACGCGTTGCGTAGAAAAAGGCAGGGAGAAGTGTGACCACTATTGGCCCTTTGACATGCAGCCTGTGAGTGTTCACTTTCTTATACAAAAACGGTACTGAAACTAATTATCGTTCATTATTATTATTTTCTAAACTTCTCTAGTTCACGTTTTTATTGCCATGTTCGATCTACGTGTTCGAAGGTTTACTACGGCGACATCCAGGTGACAATTCTGACAGAATCACAATACCCCGACTGGACAATTTGCGAGCTAAAAGTTTCACGCGGAGACCAGTCACGTATTGTGAAACATTTCCATTTCACTACCTGGCCAGATTTCGGTGTTCCTGATCCCCCGCAGACGCTCGTCAGATTTGTCCGGACGTTCCGAGAAAGGGTTAGTAAACCAAAAAAAAAAAACGCGCAACCCATTAGCCCGTCCCGTTATCGAAATATAATTAATGAGTAAAAAGTAACGAGAGAACAAAAGCTGCGTCCCAAATATTGGCTGTTTACCGCGCAGCTACCTTATACAACGAACATAGATTTCAATCATAAACACTATCTATTATGGTGGAAATATTCATTTTAGTTAACAATTCTATTCTGTCCCGGGTACTGCATACCAGTAGAATTTGACCAACGGAGGTTAATCTAAACGTTTTTTGCCTCTGATCGTTTGTGATGATCTGATCTTCCAGGTAATCCCGGACAACAAGCCTATTGTGGTTCACTGCTCAGCTGGTGTAGGCCGTTCGGGTACCTTTATCGCGCTCGACCGAATTCTGCAATCGATGCGTAAACTCGACGTCGTGGACATTTTCGGCATCGTTTTCGAAATGCGCAAAGATCGTGTGTGGATGGTACAAAATGAACAGCAATATATTTGCATACACCAGTGTCTCATGTGCGTTCTTGACACTATAACGCCTTCGTCAGGCCTGCTACAACATCAGGCCACCGCTGATGACCTGCATCGCATGCTACATGATCATCGAGAAATACATGACAACAGCGCGTTCGAAGGTAGGCTTGAGCAGATCAGCAATCATTCATCACAATAACTTTTTCTTCCATTTCTGGTATCAACCTTTCCGAAGGCACAGTGTTCTATTGGGTGCGTAAATCATAGACACTCTATAGGACAACACCTGTTCTAATATTCTAATAAAATTCTAGAAATTGTAGTTTAAATCAAAGCTGCAATATGGAGGCAGTATCTAGTTGAAAAATCTTCGTTGAACTCTACGACTGCTTTACGAAAAATTTCCGCAGGTTTTCTATACTTTAAAGATGATTAATTTAATGTTTTAACAAACAGATTTGATGAAACACACGAACAAGACATTTGATAGATTTCAAGCCGGTCAGGCGCTTACGGTACAACTCTTTACTGCGTCACCGTTGCTTTTGTCAATATGTTTATTGACAATGAATCGCAGTACGGATATGCGAATATAAACTAGAGAAGGACGGCATCTTATAAAATAGTGGCCTTGGCGACAATGCTAAACGTAACGGATAAATACATTAAATATTATCTTGAAATATACCAATGCTGCTGGAACGTTAATGACGCGCGGCACTGATCATGAAATCGGTGACGCTGGATCGATTGGTGATGAACTGATCAGTGACAAAACTCAAGGACGACTCAGATTCCGACGAGACCAAGTCGACAGTATTGATCGTCGATCCCGGGTGGGTTTTGTTTAAATTTCTGACATCCACTTCACAAACGACCCAGCTCTCCTGCTGCAATGCATAATAATGCTGCTGAGTGCCCAAGCCTTCGATAGCAATCTCCTACGCTTGATCCACCAGAGATGCCTGCATTACGCCCCGACCCGGTTCCGGACATTGACGGCCTGCTGGACTTTTTCTTTAGTTTCGCCATTTTTCCATTACGTTCATACGCTTATTTGGTATTTTTACACGACGACACCAATTCAGCACTCTGAATTTTTATCTAGTCAAACTATGCAACTTTATATAGGAAACTTTGTCAGATCCACTCAAGTTCAACGCCGAATCCTAAGTTTGTCGTTTTCATTATGATTAACTTTAATCCTCTAATACAGTAACCCTAGAACTGCACCACACTCACCGTTTCCGGCTCTTCCATAAATGCCTGTATGCATGCATGTATTGTTATAATTGTCGCTCGCACAAGCCTCAGCAGAATTTTGACGTCGCTTAAGAAATGCGAATTTCAGATGACGAGGGGATAGCGGAGTCTGGGATCTAATATCGACGACGGATACACATCCGGAAACCGAAGTCGATATGGCCGACGCTGAACACGAACAGACGAACGTTGATGGGGTGATAAACAATGTTAATAACACTCACCATCACAATTCGAACGGCCGATTCGAGAGTGTACAGTCCGACGCTGATTCCCAGACGCCGCTCGCTCCATGTGCCGACGTATGTCTTCACGACATCGTCTGACATCAAGCTTCGCCGAGACATCGAGGAGAGGACGGACAGCTCCGACGGCTGCAGCAGCAGCAGCTGTTATGTCATCACGACCACGAACGTCATAGCCAGTGGTCATTCCGACGACAGAACGCTACTCCGACGCCTAGATATCACAGTAGTGCCAAATCGATGCTGTCAGGACGATCGTGGTCACCGCGAACCTATTACAGCGGACAATATTATAACCATTTCTGCCATCAACAGTCATCAACAAATATTAGTTCAAATAGTTCGAATGCCACTCGAGTATGGTGCGGGCATCGATCCGGCGTGAGCCACTCACCTTGGCTGTGTGAGTCCGATCGTGACGTTGCGGATGAGCAAAGCACTAGCAGCAGTAGTATTTGTAATCACTCATCAATCATACGGTCCACGAACCGCGATAGTTGTAACAAAGCAAGTAAGCTTTGCTATAATCACCACCAGCATCATCACTGCAATACCACTATAATTACCAGCAATAATACTAACGACAGCCATGATAACGACTGTAAGGGGAGTACGGCCACCATCTCTGATACATCATCCGAGGGGTGGTCTGAGATGCGATCCAGTGCGGGATCGAAGTGGAGTTGGTCGCTAGATGACGAGGACGCCGGCGTCGAGACGGGGGTCGACGAATCGTTCGTTTGCGATAAGGAAGGTTCGTCCGAGAGCGATGCTGTTGTCATGTCATTACCATCGAGTCACAGGCCAAACGAGGGTGAAGACCTATGCAGCCTGGCAAGCCCGCGCTGCTTTTTATCGAAGGCGTTGCCAAAGGCTGGCTCCTATTCGTCGTGGCCGACGAGGCAAACCCTGAAAGCTTGCATTAGCGCCGCTACGTCTGCTTCTAATGGCATCAGCCACGATCATCGTAGTGTCATTTTCATACATTCGTGTTCCGTTCAAAGAAAGTACAGCAAACCAGAGCGAGTTTATAGAACTGCGCTCCGCTACTGATAGAGAGAGCAAAAGAAAAGAGCAACTACATTCGTTATATATATATATATATATATATATATATATATATATATATATATATATATATGAGAAGAACGAATAAAACACGGACAACGGTAGACGAATGTATAGGTAGGGGGTGGTAGATGACGTTGCACGAGAGCGGTAAACTGAAACTGGAATTGTGTATAGAGTAGTTGATTAATGCAGGTAAACGAGAATAGAGTAGAACAGGACAGCGGCTCCAAGGTGTTAGTAAGGTCCATCTTCTAGTCAAACCCGTTTTGATAACTCATTTATTACGATAGAGACAAAGATTCGACCGGAAGAACCACTGCTATATATTGTTATTATTATTATTATTATTATTATTATAGGACAAAGACAACAACTATGATCGCCAAGACTCTAATGAAGAACGTACTGTGAAACCTGTAAAACGATTATATATATATATATATGAACAGAGATAAGTAAATACAACTTGATTAAATATCGATGAGATAGTACCATGCTCACTCACTGAAATCAGCCTGATTAAGTACTGGATGAACAGAAGAAGACAATAATGGTAATAGATGTGTGAATAATATGAAATCGGCAAGGTTAATGCCCATCAATAGATAACCTAACCTATGACACGTCTAATATAGAAGCGCTGAAACGAGTGCAGCTACACGTTGACGCTGCTGCTGGATGACACCTGAATTCTCACAGGAATAAAACTTCTCTCTGCCTCGAAGACGAAGCCATTTCATATCTGCGATTAGCGCGACATGCACACTAGACGCAACAGAAACTTTATAAATACAGCCGACTTAATACGTATGGATGCCCATATTATATAGGTTAACGAGACGCCAAGGAGTCGCTAACAACTGAATGAGCGCGACAAAAATGATACATTATTACAAATTTTAATAACTCAGGAGGGGCTGCGATGCTGCGTTAACATGGAAAGACAACAATTGTACAAAGTAGTTGAAATCCTTTAGCAAGTTTCGGAATGCACATTACTATTAATGATACGATAAGAAATAAAATGGGAACGAATGTTTCAGAAGGAATTATTTCGAATATTTAGCGCGGGCTGCACAAGTGTCAACTGGATTCAGTTCATTCGGTATTTGCGATGTACTAGATTTTTCATCATTATTATTCCAAGTTCCATTATTTAATTAACTTACCGCTATTAAAGATAGCTTTTGTCAAATACACATTTACAAGGTTACTTCGATTTTGTAAATTATAATAATTTTTTTATCGCTCACATTCATTTAAGCGTTTTAATTCGTTTAATTAAGAAAGAGTTATATGCTTACAGACAAGCTGCGATTGGATATTACAAGTTATTTTTTATTACAAGTTATTTTTATTTTTACTAACGAATATGACGTAAATCAACAAACCCATGACGGTATAATGTTCAACAATTAGAGGCGCTTTTTAAATAATTATCGATAATCACGTATTGCCATCATTTAAAGCTATACGTTCGGCAATTTTCATTAGAAAAACATAAGCGCAGTGTTTTTGGAACTAAGCGTACTGCCGACGCATTTTCCTTGAGTGAGAAAGATATGTCTATAGGTTATAATATATTACATGTACTATGCAAAAGGGGCTTCTGTAACATGTAACTGTTAATTAAGCGTGTCAGAAGGCGGGCAGTTGTTAACGAAGGGCCACATGATCGGTTGCTATTAATAAAAACGTAAAGTGAGGTGCAGCTCGCATTCGACCTGTCAGGTTTGTAGAAAAGAGGTTCGGAGTGTTTTTCTATGGCGATACCGTTGTATGATGAGGCTCCGAATGAGGGGGCTCTGTTGACATGTGAGCATATCAACTAATCACACCATAGAAACTGATATAGTTAGGAAAAATCGTTCGATCCAGAGAGAACAACTGTGCTGAAATTGAACTTGACATAAAAAATATGGCGCATGCTTGAACATATAAAGTTTTCTATTCGAAATAATTATTTAATTCGAAATAATTTAGTAACCAGATCAGGGTTAGGATTTGGTCTGCACGGGAGAATTTCCTTGATAGATATGCCATCTACGAAGACGTCTGGAGACAACAATTATCCAATTTGCCGTGATAGATTCGAACGGCTTTCTATATGGAACTTCAGTTTAATCCTCTATACATCGGAGCGAAAGGCTTCTTAATACGTTCCGAAGCAATACGAGAGGAGCTCATCTCAATTAGTTTATGTTCCAATTGAAAAGACATAGGGGCTTAATATTTGCTTAACGTCAATATACAGAGAGACTTAAGGGTTAACTTAACTTAAGGCAAAGGGTTTGTCCAGCGAATGTTCGATGTGGGCATATTACGAGACAAGTAATTGCGTGAATACGTTTTGATATGCATATTGACACGTCACTTTTTACGTAAGTCCAACGTGTAGCCGTGCATTTTTCCTAACGATGATTTAATGTCGTTGTATAAAAGAAACAATGACCGAGGGCAATCTTAGCTGAGGGAAGAAAGAAGAAACTAGGGAGAGCCGATGTGTAGGGCGCCATTGCTGCACGATAAACATATCGTTTAGAATAGAACACTGAATACGGGGCTCTAAAGAAAGGCAGGGTACTGGCCAGGGTAGATAAATCGCGGGTAAAGCAGCTATCACAGACCCATCATCGTGTGAGTATTTTGCCCACCAACGGAATAGAATAGGGAATGCTAGTACTCATAAGAAAAATAACAATAACGACAAATATGTAACAATAATCAATAAAGTATAGTGATTAAGTGCTATTGACGGTGTATAGACGTAACAAGGAGCGAAAGGAGGATGGAATCACTAGGTAAATCGTAACGCTACAGAGACGTAACGGTTAATACATAAACAACATATCTCTAAGAGTCTTAAGTAAAGTATGGACAAACTATTTTAACAACATTAATTATACTACACAATTTGTTCGATGTAAAGAAAGTATAAGTTAGAATTTCGAAGAAGATGCCGATTCTCAGACGATTTCGAGGCACTCGATTGGTGGTTCGTTGGGGAATGGTCGAATCAAGCCATAAGCAACGATGATAATAAGCGTCTGGCAAACTAAATAAAGCCATTTTATAGACATCCACTTGAGCAGACGAAAATAAATCATTGACGCCCGTCGAATAACACGTCTAGCCGAAAATGCACATTTAGCAAGTGTAAATGAAAATATGAAAAAATTTAATTAACTAATTAATGTCAGAACGGAAGAGAATAAGCAAAGGGGTGCGTTAAAAAGCTGTTAATTGATATAGCAGCGCAACGATGGCCGCCTAGTGTCATTGATACTGCTTTCTGCTCATTTGTTAAGCATTGTAGGAGACACCAGTTGCTAAAAACGCAAAAAAAAGGGCAAATGGAACGCAAGTTCGGAATAGGCAGATGAAGGTTTATGAGAAGGGAACGTTCATCAGCATGGTTCATTGCTGTATGAGCTATAGATCTGGTAGTGAAACCAGCGAGCGTCGAGCCACCACAGGCCACGGCCCTGACTTCTGAGCTAAAGAAGAAATACATAGAAAAAGAGATAGGGAGGAATAACATAAGTAAAATAAAGTGTTGAAATGTTGGGATAACAACACAAAAAAGTAATGAATAGATGTCGAGATGATAATCGTAATTATCATTCCGATTACTCAATAAAACAACTAAGTTATCGTCTATTACAATGTGCGGTTTTTAATTATATCTAAGTATTTCATCGAAGCGTGACATAACTTAGGCTTTAAGTTAAATAGTTCATATATCAAGATCAAAATAGCAGGTACTAACTTGCGTATATGTCGCAGTAAAATTGGCAATGAACTTAAAAAAAGTCCCTTTCCACAACCCGGCCTAGAATTCGTTAGCCATTTAATTAAATAGGAAGCATAAGGTAGAGACAATTGAGCAAATTGCTCAATTGTCTTTACCTTGTGTCCTAATCTTATATTCAAGCATTCTAACATGTATAAAAATCTAGGAGCTGTTTCCTTTATCTGTTAGTCAAAGTAAATACCATTAATAAGAAAAGGTCTATGAACCGCTATCGTACAGACGCTGACGGGGGCGTATGAGCAATCCTGAATTAATGGAATATCGCTCTCCAGAGCTCCCTGAACAAACTGTCTGTAGACTTCCGCTAGATTTGCCTCGAGCCATATAGAAAACGTGAGAGTAAGATTTTGCTGGCATCGCCTGATTAATATTTATATACTATCATCGACTTTCTATTGGAAAGCAATTCAGAAACTACTATTAAACGATTTTTTCAGCTTACAACGAACGAAAGCAATAGAAGTATAATTTTTCGTAAATACCATTCGAAATAAGGCTTACAGGTATAAGACCTAGTTACAGATGTTGACTCGAATTGTGCCAACAACCCAAGTGGTAAATTTTCATTAGCAAGGTCGACCTTAAGATCGAAGCTAGTTGAATACGATGCTTTATTCTAAAATAGAGGACGTTATATACATATTGTTACTGGATCTTTTTGTTCTGCAAGCGATAATAGTGCCTAACTTGTCTCGATGCAAAACACTAAACCTTGACTATTTATCTTAAAATACTCAATTCCTATGATATTTCTGGCCAGTACAATACAGAGATAAATTGAAGGACAGTAAGTAAGTTATCGTAGCTGCCGCGAAATCGATAGGGCTCAATCAAGCCTGTATCGCTCGGGTTAATCCAGGGATTTTTTCTCGGAATGAACTTGAAAGTTAGAGCCCACTACACACTCGATTCGAGTTAATGCTACTGCAGTAGATCTTAAAAATAATCGAAGTGGAAATAAATGTACATTCAATCTGCAAACGTGTTGGAATTAATTTATGATTTAAAAATCGCTAGACCGCAAGGCTTCAATACATCTCACTAACATAAACTCGAAATCCTGTAGATTTTTTAGAGCTTTAAATATACTGGTAAATGAGTGACCTGAATACGGTTGATTTGTATATATTTATCTACTTGAAAACCTAGTTTACGCAAACCCCATAAACACAGCAGTTCGGAACTAGAAAATCCAATGTAATTTTAGTCAAAGTTTCCATTTCATGAGCCTTTCTTTATTGGAATAACAAAACCTTAGACGTATGTCCTTTATGTTTGTTTCTTTTCCTACAAGACACTAGCTAGCGCTGACTATAATTTCGACGCAAGTTTAGAGTTTTAATAGACAGTGTGTGTAACGATGGGTGTTGCATCCAAGACACATATTCTGATATCCTGTACGTATCGTACTTTTTTTTCTCTAAGATTTAGAAAGTACTACGGACTCGTTTTCCAAGACGAGATAATCGTTCTCCGATTGGAACCAAAACATTTATTAGCATTCATTTTTTCCAGCCAAAAAGGAAACGAAAAGCAAAAAACGTTCCGGTTCCCCATTTTTAAAAAGTAGTTTCATAGTCAATAACAAACAATACATATTCACTATTATGAATAGGTTCTGTTTGTTTCATAAAATGTTCAATATCTTTCATTAATTCTAATTTGTTCTAAGTGTTGTCCAATCGTTTCGTGCTACACTTATACATTAGTGATTATTTTGTACTTTGCCTTTATTCTTTAGATCGTATGTACATTTGTTCTTTTTTTTCTTCATTGCAATTCCGCCTTCCCTTATTTCACTCATGTGCATGTAATGCATGCGCCACTGTCTCTATGACTCAAAAACGAGTTTATAATCACAAGGTAATCCAGGTTTAACTTAGATTTATAAAATAAGGCGGCCCTAAGGACCACGCTGTTCGAGATTTAGGACAGCTACATACAACGAGTTTTTAAAGATGCGTCATCGTCCAGTCTTTCCACAACGGGAAAATCTCCAGCCAACATTTCCCGCTACATGTTGCCCTCGCCTTAAATGAACGCAGTCGATAGCAATTGCTGCCGTACACGAATACATATTGCTCACAAGCTGTTCGCTACGCTAATGTCAACCACTAAGATATGGCAAAGCATAAATGGGCTCTTATGGGCCAACCGTCCGCTGACAATAGGGCCGCTTCCCGCGCCGAAGGTTTTATAGTTAGCAGTCTTTAAAAAAGTGTATATAATCTTAGTAGAGCACCACTAGTAAGAACCATCCTGTAACTACTCTTGCGAAATTCAATATAATACACGCGGGCCACGTTAGGTAAACTTGTCAGGATCATCAACCTTTGCGCCCATTAATAAAAATCTGATTCAGAACGAAAACTAGTACCTATTTATACTGAATTCGTATATTCGCCTATTCAGTGATGTTGGCTAGTATCTAAAGGGACAGACTGCTATCGAAGTTTAGATCATTGTAATAGATCATAAGCATATTTGTCCGCCCAGAACAAAATAATGCTCTGTTCGAAAAAACAAAAACAATTTGTTAATACACATGAATTAAATGAAAAACAAAAAACAGACATGAGGAACGTTTGTCGCAAAGAGATTGAGATAAGTATCCGATTCTAATAGATGTACGAAGTCTTATAGCGGGGTCGATTTTATGTTGTCTAAAACTACGTTGCTTCTTACGGCATCAGTTGGTCAAATATCGATATGAACAATATTCGGATCGGCACGATAGAGTTACCTGAAACTCCCATTGATTTAAACCAACGCGGTTATTTTTCCGTAGTTTGTGCTAGAAATGTAAACTGTGAAAATTACGCTTTTACTTCCTGCACTGAAAAGCAAGCTTCTCAGCCTAAGTGCCTAACGGCCACTAACTAGAAACAAGCTAAAAGATGGGCGGAATCGATGAGTGAGCCCGGGGCTATGGTAAAGTCAAAAACACCAGATTAAAGCACAGGGCGGATGATAACAGTGGTCGAAAAGGGGCATACCTACCAATTTGCTGGAGTGAGAAACGGCGCTTAACCATGAGAAATTGGTAAAGAGGTAATGCACCGATAATGAACTACTGCTACCCAGGTAAATCCAGATGAAGAATAAAGACGCTTAGTAAACTGTCTTGGTAGATTATGAATCGAAGACAAGAATTACGACACCGTTTCAACATGTAAAAAATTACTGTATTATAGATTAGTACAGGACACTTGTTCAACGATTAGAATGATGTTTTCAAATAGAGAAGATGATGACTTTACTAAAAACTGAAATGTTTGGAAGTTGAGAACGTCTATACCGTAAACTGTGTTAGTGATGATTGAAAGACATATTTGAAATTGGGATGCAGCTGTATACAAACTGTTTTCTAAAAAGACTCTTTGAAACAATAGGCACTGTTGCCAGAGACGAGCCAGACAAATACGGTCAGAGTATCTGCTTTTGGTCGATCTGTAATTAGTCTATTGTTAATAAAACGACACACATCAATACATAAGGAAAACCATGTTAGTTTTATTAACATTTTATAATATTTACCGCTGTCCATTGGTATATATCAGTTTAACAACAGAGAATGCAATTTTTATCACCCTTCAAAAATTTGACAGGGTGCTCTTCGCTGGCTGTCATGGTACACTGCTGGCCATCCACAACAAGTTCTGCTCGATGCAAGGGGTACCTGTGGCAACAAAATAACTTAGTTTAGTACCGAATTCACCGAACTGGTTTATAACGTAGATGCTGGGTTTAGCTATTACGTGCCGTAAATGAAAACAGCTGTAGCGTCTACACAAACGAAGAATTTGCCTGAAGTACGATCGATGTTGATTCTAACAAAAGGGCTGTACGTCCGAGTAAATTCGAGTCTTAAAAACTAATAGCTGCCCAAACTGATCGAGCCTGTCGATTCGGATTTCGATTAATCTACAGTGAAGTCTCACCTTGTCGAAGAATTAACAGTGTAGTTTCTGATCTCGACGTTATTCGCCTTGCCGAGCTTCTGAGCTTTGGCGATGATCTCCTTAGAAACGGGTGTACTTGAAGGATCAACTTCTTTCGGGGTGCCCACGTCCGTAGCAGTCGCCATGGCCCCAAAAGCAGCGACCACGATTAGAAACATCATCATTAATCTCAGAACCTGGGATACGCGTTAAATTGAAGTTCAAGAACTATTTGAAAATCATATAGAAATACTGCCGCAGGACTAATCATTTTGCCAATGTGCAGATTTAGAGGGACCGAAGCGAACAAATCTTTAAAATTATTTTTCCCTTCTAAGTGGTTCCTTCAAGTAGATCGGTGCCGTTGCCTACATACATTAGCGTTTCTAACCAACACGCCTGTAATAATATAGCCAGAAAACAAAAGTAAAACGATCTTCTATGGCAACGAGAGTTGAATAGAATTCTTTTTTCCGGAACAACGTCGAAAGGACTCGCGTTTTACCGTTATGTACGCTCACTTTTTGATAGGGGCCTTCTGGCAAACCTTTCTTTTATGGCATTTACTTAGAACTTGCTCAGGTACTACCTGTAACGGTTGCGGAAGGAAGCAACTTCACGGCGCGCGTTGGGCAATCTATGATTATTCATTTCAACGATGCTTCTTATATATGCACCCTACAGTCGTGCCGCGGCCCCTTAGGCGGACGGCACTCGGTAAAATCAATTTGGCAGAACATGACGAACCGTATTTACTCCTTGTAACAAGCAGGTAACGAACGCATCCGTTGCTCTTAGAGAAATGCCTAATTCTCTAGGTTATGTTCTAATAAGGCTTCCCTTTAGTTTCTGAAAGGAATGACTAAAAACTACGGCATCTGGATCGAAGTTTCGACTACTAATATGAAAATGACTATCCTGATTGAACTTAAACGTAGATATCACTTCTATTATACTTTGCTAAGCGTAACTTGTCAATTAGAGATATTGTGTTATAATTATCATTTCTATTCGCTAAATAGAGAAGCAAAGCTTCGTGTACAAGGTCGTAATGCTAGTGACCCAGAGTGTATCACTTCTAGAGCTATTTTGCGGTCTTTGCTAGTAGGTGTAGATCAGAAAGGCTTTTTCCTACAGAAATCGTAAAGCTGAAAAATAGCCTAAAATATTTAGTAAAGCTACGTCGATCTAGGTTCAACGAATACCTGGATAATAAACATGTAAAAATGTAATCGACTGATAAAACTTCTTATATCTAATAGTATATACGGCTGATGAATATATAGGGGTCCATAATTGACAACATTCGGTTTCATATTTTTTTTTTTCGAAGTCACTTTATTGTTACATTAACTACAGATGGAAACGAATCGTAGTTTGCCTCCGAATATGAAACTATTTATCTAACCAGCGGCAAAAGTCCTAATACTGAAAGGTCCCCTTCCGTTTTTTTATACGACCCTGAATAGATATTGGCTCAACAGCAAAGGATGCAGTTGTTCTTTCCTTTAAGCCATTTCAAGGGTTTCTCTTCGCTAACTCTAATAGTACAGGTTTTGCCATTCACCTCGAGCTCCACTTCGTGCAAATTGTACCTGTAATGTCAGAATGAACAATGATGACCCTACTGGCTTTTTTGTAGTATTGCCTCGGGAATATATGGAAAAAAACGGTTGTGTCTATCTAGCCTGCTTGGGGGCACTTTGGTAATTGATTAATTAAAAAAAATTTAGTTCTCTAAATGAATCATAATTTACCCCAATCGGTGTGGAGATCATATGGACAGGCCGACTGGTAGAAGTAGGTTTCAGTTGCACAGACCGAAATATATCTGGTGCCATAAGGGGCCGTTTAGCCGATATTATAGAATGGCTACAGCTCGCTGAAGCTGTGATTCTGGGAGTTCGGGAAGGAAGCTACAATCGCCCCAAACGCTCAGGCTGAACAGCCGCAGTCCGTTCCGTTTTGCAAGCGACTAGCTGTATCGTGCAGCATGTACGTACTGCATAGACGTTATAAGTGTAATGAATACGAGGCTTGGCTACAGTTAATAAGTTACCTTGTTGCATAGTTAACGGTGTACTGCTTGACTACGACATTGGTTGTCTTTCCGAGCTCTTTGGCTTTGGCGATGATGTCCTTGCTGATGGGAACTGAAGCAAAATCCACAGTCTCAGGGCCGCCCAGACCGGTAGCATAGGCCATAGTCACGAGGCCAGCTAAGATGATTAGGCAGTTCATGGCGAACGTGGGAAGCTGGGAAACAACACGATCTCGTAAAATCGCCACTGAAACTCATCTCGTATTTCAGCGAAATACCTATCCTAATTTTTCTTGCAAATCGCACGCATGGAGTACTAAGTAGAGAAGCATGTACTTACCACTAATAGTTGCTAGTCGCTTATTTTGGAAAAAAAAAAAAGAAAGCCAAAAGACTCTAAAGCTATCGAGGGTTTTTAAAGTAAACCTAGTTTTTGCTACGACCATCGAAAAAGAAAGAGTTCATGTCATGAGAGTGACTGGTATAAATAATCGGATGACAACGATCGCAAACGGCACTCTACAGCTGTCAGTCAATTTGAATGCAAGTATTCCAGTAAACGATCATTTATGGCACCGAGTTCGTAGCTTGTTTTGTCAGCATGGCAGCAATTAAACGCAGCAACCGCGTTGCTAATTCTCGCAGATATCAACTTTATAGCTTTTGCAAAAAGGCAATCTCGTTCATACATACATACATACCCGTACATTGGGATGTAAAAAGATTTCATGCGGAAAATATCTAGTATTGTACATTTGGACTATTAAAGGAACGCTTCGGGTAGTAATACTTCGTACAACGGAAAAAATACTACCATTGCTGGGTTATTCGTATGATTAAGAAAGTACGTCTCCGTGTATAGGAAACAGTAAAAAATAGGGAACTGTAAAAAGTACTGCATATATTTGAATTGATTAGTGCACATGTGGCCGGAGGATGTTCCCGCTAGTTCGTATCTTCTTAGTCAGTATTCAGCTGTCTGCCTAAAAATAATACGATCGACATGTTTCTCAGGAATCCGCGTCTGGCTTCCTAGTAAAAATCGTTTTGATATGGCATTCATAGGGTGCTATTCCAATTTCATAAAAAAAAAAGTTCAATCAGTACTTACTTTATTAGAACGAACTGTGACAACTTCTTGTGTTCGTTAGAGTATGGTAATCGCTGCTTCTGTGGACACTATTTATATGTGAATCTCAAAATCGTGCACGGCTGTGTTTAACTGAAAATGTGGCAAGTTCCGTTTGGACCTCTCTCACAATCGTCGTTAGCTGCACTTTTAGGCAAGGGTATCGATGTGCTGTTTTTGAAAAAATGCATAATTTTTACTAAAGGCCAATTGCGCTTGAGAGAGTGGACTTTGTCAAACGGCGCGCTTATTTTGTGACGTTCGTACTGAAGGTAAACAAAGAAAAAAAAAAACACGGAAAGTGGAATCTTCAATAGCAGTCTTTTTGTGTAATGAAATAACACAGTTAAAATAGTTGAATACACACGAAAAGTTAACTGGGTCTGAGTGACACACAAAGCTTTTTCAGCTACAGACTACAGACGGGGGTGAAAGGTATCGTCATAGTGGAACACTTCGTTTACACTATTTAGAAAATATTTGTCATGCCTTTCAATGTGCTAATTGTATCTAACTATAGATGAAAGATCATACAATTAACTAGAGCAAATAGCCTTTGCTTTTCTATAACAGAATTATATGCGTGCCATAGTGGAAAATTGAATTTATATGTAGTAAAGCCATTCAGAGATGAGGTATCAAGCGTTAAATTCAAATAATTTCAAAAACGAATTCTAAGGCTAAAGCGTAATGTCCGTACGATTTGGACTCCAGAAAAAATGACGAGTTTGCCCAGCAGTGACTAGAATAGACAAGCAAAGTTTTTCATTATGTGCTTTGCCTATTCAGTGTTCAGAAACAGGTATGTTGGGCCGATAATGCCGGTGTCACCCGCCTGCCATCACCGAGAGCATTTTTATGCCTTCCTATATCCGATGAAAAATACAATGCGTCGCCAAAGAATAATGAGTTCTTTACTTTGGACCTGCGCTTCCACTGCCGTTGTCTTACAACACTCTGAGCATTACAATTGCTTTTCATGACTGCTTAATTATAGCTACAATGTATCATTGACATGGCATGATGTTTAGGTCAGTAGGGCTCGCGGATGCACGACACATTCAAGGTTCTGATAGTGCTTTGTACCTTGATTGCACGCCATAGTGGAGAGCTCAGTTACTGCCTCATACAGAGCCTTATCAATAATATAGCGGTTTTCACAGAATCGGTAGAGAACCTATCGGACATCTGTGTCTTCTGCGTTGCGGGCACACTGCACGCTGGCGATTTGGACGGGGCTCATCCACACTAGAAAGAGATACGTGACCGGAAAGGTTAAATCTTTTCTACGAAACGGCGTAAAGGGCTTTATACCCTCCATCATTTGATTACAAGAACGTTCGGGAACAAATGAGACTTTAGCAAAGGAAAAAAACAGCTCTCGAAGTTACGGCTCATATGCTTTGTTATGTTTAATGGATGCATGAGGGAGACATATTCTTGTGTAGGGAGTTAGTTTGTCTGATGACGCGAATAATTTGGCCAGAGCAACTTTGATCCGGTCGCACTAATTAGTTCCTTCTATCAGCCTGTAGCACTGGTAAATGGGGATCTGGGCTGACTAGGGGTGAACCTTGGTAGAGGAGCTGCGAAGTAGTGTGCAGATATCTCGACCGGAATAAGCCGTACCGGTGAAAGTGAAGCCCACACTAAACCCACATAAACAGACATTATGCTCCGTTTGTACGGAAACTATGCTTTAGATCACACTCGTAGCTAGCTAAACAGCCGTATGACAGTGGCCTCGGATTTTCAGCTATACCGCTTGATTGCTAGAAATTTTTTATTCATCTGAATCTAATTTTTAAATTGTGGACGGTCAGCATTTTGACGCTATTCAGCGTTAAAGGTAGCACAAATATATCATCAATGACCACAGCATTGTGCGCTGTATATTTTATATATCACGTACATAGTCATGATTCATTTTCATTCTAACCTTATTACCTAGTTAACGATCTCAAGCATTTCATATATGAAATGGTTAAGTTTCCGAGTCAATAGAAGGCCACAAAAAATGCCATATCAATATCCTGCGATTTAGACCTCTTTTAAAATAGCATTCTTTCACCGTTTGTTGGTGAAAAAATCGTGATAACTAAATAATTAACGGCAAACGACCGTGGTCTGTTTTACACTCGTATTCATGACCGCAAAGCGGCACAGTTTTTTTAATATGTTTACGTAGGCTATAAATATTTCAAGGTCAGGTAAGGTCAGGTAGAGAAACTTTAAACTCTTTAAAAAGGCACTAAAGGCCCAATTTTTGACGAGGGCTACCTTTCAGAGCTTTGTTATCCTTCAAGTGCCGAAGGGTTTTCACGAACGCCAGCGCCATATTACTTATCCCAATCTTCTCTATCTATCCCAATCCAGTATGCTACTAATATTTTGCTACCGAGAAAATCTAGTGGTTCGGATATCTCACCGGCATTTTATTTTTAAGCATTTGTTTTATATTTAGTTGGTAGCAAATTAACTTTACGCGGCTATCTTTTTAGGTTCCAGTCGTTGAAATATACCCAATCAATTCTGCGTATTTTCGTCCTATTTAAATGCTGGTTTGTATACGCAGCTTTAAACACTGACGATTGTTTTACAAAATTCACCCTTCTATTTTAGGCGCATGTTATTGTCCAAGCATTTACACTCAAGTATTTCTTATTGACAGGAGCAATGGGGTGATGTCTCATGGCGGTTTTGTACGCCTGCGCACACGGATGTCGCAATTCGAATAAAATGAACAATAATCACAGCTACAGAATTGACGGACACGTGTTGTTCTCACAATTTCAGCCGCGCCAAGTGATTGACGTTGTTTATGTAATTGTACGTCGTCGTCAAAAGAAGCGAACGTGCTTGTTTTGAGAATAAAATTGCTTCTACCAATATAAGCGAACAGAAAGCCAGGAATGAAGGGAGGAGTGAAGCTTAAAACAGTATAAAGTTGGTGTCCGCGATACCTGTTTGCTCTCATCAAATGCCCTTCGACTTCGCAGATTTGCCTCCGCGAACAGAAAAATCTAAATTTCCAAGCCTGATGGGTATTTGTGGAAATGATGTAACGATCACTAAGCTGACAGTATTGACATAGCGCTTTTTCAGCAAATTTATGCACGAGCCACAGTGATAACAAACGTCACGAGGATAGAACCTCCGACATGTGTTTATCAAAATCAATACGACCAAAAGGTAAGTACATGAGAGAGAGAGAGTGTAAGATCTCCACTAGGAGTGCCATTAGCATCTTCAAAATTTGCTGTTATAACAGACCATGATATTCGTAGTAAAGAAAAGTCGATTTCGGGGGGGGGCCGGTAAGTTATGGTGGATGACTGTTCGACGTATAGCAGGTACGAAATGATGAGGTAAACAGCGAGCGACATAATCCTCGTATGCTTCGGTTAATTTCAGGCGACGTTCGAATTACGGAAGGTATCGATATTAACAGAAATACTTGTCAATTAGAATAAATTACCTTCTTCAACGTTGAAATGCTAAATAAACTTATGTCAGAACTTAGCCTTTCTTCTAGGACGCTTCCAATGTACACAGGCAACCGTAATGGGCTTTTTAATGACGTCCCCAGTGCAGTTGTTTTTGACTGCTGTGTGAAGTCTCTGAAATTAGAGGCCCCCCTTTCAGCAATAATCTTAATAAGCGGAAAAAGATACGTAAAAACGAATACCTATAATACCTAACTTTAATTGTTTGCGGGAATATTTACATACAGAATAGAACTGTATGATTTTTGAAACAAAAATGCAGGAAAAAGTTCAAACACGTTTTCAGTCCTTTATTTCTTTACGAACAAATAATATTAATAATTAAGAACAATAATAATAATAATAACTGAATACATATTATATATATATAACAAGAACAGCTGCAACAATCAGGAAACTTTCAAAAAGAAGAACATTCACAACGCATTTTTACTCAGGTATAGATGTCATTTTTTTTTTCTGTCTACTTACTGTACTTTTCTGGCTTCAATGAATTTAGTATAAAAGAATGTTTGCCCTGTTGGGCTAACAGAAAGCACCTGCTGTAAACACATTGGCCAAGCGTCGTTGCCTAACTTCTAACGCTCGAGGAGGGTTAGCATCGGCTGGACGGCTTGGCCAAACACAGTTGCAGTAGTGCCCCAACAGAGTCTTGAAGAAAGGCCGTATTTGGGAATAGCAAGATCGATCGTATCTGTAGTTCATATTACTGTGCTGAAATATCTTCAATTATAACTTGACTAGAAATATTCGATCGTTATATTACACCCGTGGAATCCACGTTGAACTAAAAGAACGATCATAGGCATACCGTCCATGCATTTTGTTGTTATCTATATTTCGTGCAGCACGCTGGCTAGCCGGTCATGCCATGTCTGGAGGCAAGAAAATGTTGATTCCAGACTCTTGGCTATGTAACACACCTTGGAAATTACCAGCACCTGTACTCTGCTGAGAAATACAGATAGTAGTGAAGTGACCCAGGATTAATCGTCCTACCCTCCTGCTACAACATCGTATCCTCGATCGCTTATCGTTCGTCGCGTGAATACGTTGACCAAACAATTTCAGCCCAGTTTTTCCCAGGTCATCTAGTGAATATCGATAGCATATGAGTGTTGATAGGGAATGGCAGTGCCTCAACAGTGATAAATAGTGACCTCGTTCTCGTCGCAAGCAAATAGATTATCTCCATTCGGTGACAGACCTCGAATTGTCAAACCCACAATCATAATCAAAATGGAACGTCATCAATTTGGGCCTCAAAGATGCACATAATTATATTTTTGGTTAATTTTAACCAAATCCTTTGCCAGTCGGTCAATTGATTATCATGTAAAAATCGACGTGTACACACAGAAGCCATGTACGCGCTCGATATCTTGAAAGATATAAATGGGCAGTAAGATTAACAGCTAAGCTGCATTGGATGTACATAGAATAGATATGGTCGAATAGCAATATTCTGTTTATGCTTGGATCTGAGGCAGATTTGTGGAATACTATAAATTGTGCCTATTTTAAGAATCCTTAATTAAGTCATCCTTTTCCGTTCTAATGTCTAGCCTATAATCATGCTATCCACCTTTTTCATCTCACTTGTAGTTGAGTGGTGACCTCGTTACTCCAGAAACGTTCCAGATCCAACAGTCCGCTGCGCCATATTTTTCGGCCTTGAACGAAAGTTCTAAACCGATAATTACAAAGTAGATTTAAAAGCATATGAAACGAAATCGGTGGCAATATCGACACGGCTGTGTTTGTGTGTGTTTGTGTGATGGCGACTCCCGAAGCAAGCTTGGCCTTACCTATCATACAATACGATAGATTGAGTTACTTCGAATTAGAAAAGTCAACAGAGGTCTTTGATCGTCTATTTTAGAGTAACCGAATAGAATGTCGACACGTTCTACTTGGATCTACTCTTCCTAGATTTAGTGGGAACCTTTAAAGTGGCCTTCGTCGTATCAGTGCCGCGCTCTTGTACGCCATGTGATATTGATGACTTTTCCTGCAACACAGTTCGTTGCAGAGTTAAGAAAACAATTATGGAAAAATCGCTGAATTTCAAATCGCTAGCAAAGGCCATTCAAGCTGAAATTCAATAGAGTAACATTTAAGCTATCAGCAAGAATACACTTCATTGAATTACTCACCAGATACTTCGTCAATAGTTGCGGTAGTTCGTACGCGATAACACGGTCGAGCTTGTCGATCGGGCAACCTTTCAAATAGCCTGTTAAATCACAGTGTTGTTTCGTTTATACAGTGTTAATATCATCGAATCGGCTGTATTGCCAGCTTTCAAAGGTGTACACATTGCCTCACGCACTAGTCCATCGCTACTGATATCTGGCATTGGACTTCAAATGATAGAAGCCCAACAAATATTAAGTACGTACATATGCATACGTAGAATAACTTAATTGTAATAACACTCGTAGAGCAAGCAGTCGCAAAAAATTATTTTCAATTTGATGTTTTTTTTATTATTATTAAAAAATATTTTTGGCTTTTAAAATAAAATTTGGTTCATCTCATACCGCACAGTTCCTTGAGTCGAGGGAAGTCCTGGAGAGGGTTCAGCTTAAAGAATGCCGCGTAGTCCTCGGGCTCCAGAAGGTCGTATCTGAAACAAGCAATATACCACTAAATTATAATAGGTCTCTATCTTTTTAAAATGAAAAGCCTTCTTCACTGACTCGTCCACTGGTTTGGTCCAGCGGGTAACCTCGATAAATAGCCCTGATTGGGTTTACATTGCAACAACATCTAAAATATCTGTAAATATCGAATGCTGAGCTACCTGGAAATATTTGTACTCTGCGAAATTGTGCCGAAAATTCTGTACTTCGCAGGATCTTTAATGATTTGCTCCGCGACCTTCTTCTTGTTTCCGAACATCCCCTGTGAACAAGAACAAACATTATAAGATCCCAACCAGTCTCTATAATTCCACCTGTAAACAGCGAATGTATGTAGCTGACGATCCAGAATAGATGCTGGCTCCAAAGAACGCTGCCCTCAAAACTTCTTCTAAAGTCGGAACGAAGCAGTTAAAACTTCTCAAGTTCAATATTTTTCTGCCATCATTTTTGGAATGTTAATCAATTGTATGCTTATTGCCATTGTCATAAGATATTGCTCGCAGAAGAAGCATATCCGTAACCACAAGATTTCTAAGTTTGTGTCAGTCTCATCGGGACCTGGCTCTAACCTTGTGTTTGTAGAAAGCGTCTAGGTAGCAGTCGACAAGCTTGGCGTGATTGCGGACTCGAACGGCATGACGACGTGCAAACATAATTGTGTTCTCTACGCGTTCATCCATCACCTAGGCAAGGTACAACGACAAAAGGAGAAAAGAAGAGATCAGCAAAACAATTCGGCACATAGAAAACTCTTCGTCACCAAGTTCGAGCATCATACCCACCTCGTCGATTTTAGTTATGTGAAGCGTTTGAGGGACTTATTATTTTCCAGTCCCTTTTTTTAACTATAAAAGATAACTCTAACACCGCATAACCAACTTATCTTCTATCCAAAATGCTGGAAACAGACTAAATATATATATTTTTTTTTAAATTTACTGATCACGAGAAAAACCTAGAGCCAGATCTATATGTCACATCGGTGCTTATTATTGTTCATGTTAATTATTTGTTTAACATAGCACATTTGTAGAAATGTGCACACTAAGTCGTCGACAATGTTTCTATTGCACATCCGTAACAGTAACCTTTATTAAGAAAACTGAAAAAAGGAAGCCCTGTATGCGTGTAAACTATAATTTCTTTGAGCCGTGCTAGTCATTTTTTTCAGGGAAGTGCTCACGTCACCACATTTTTCGCAACCTCGACTAATAAAAATTTATATAAATAGTATATCCAAAAAAAGTATACAGAGCTAATGCGTGATCGCTATCTGAAATCGCCAGAGCAACTTTAAGAGCCCTGCTTCAACGTCTTCTTCAATGTCTACTTTGTACGTAGTATTACTTCAACGCCTTATTTCTTATTTCACCGCCTTATAATTTTTCATTACCTTTCACCTTAATGTACTAAAATAGCAATTTTGAATTCGGGTCTTCGAAATTCTCAAGCTAACTTCGCAGATCCCCTAAATACCTACTTCTTTAAGGTGATTCAGCAATTCCTCTTCCTGATCTTTCAAATACTCTGCGGGACTTCCGGGAAGATAGGGCCTGAAAACGTTGGAAGGCCACTAGGTAAATCGCAATTTATTTATTAAGTTTCAACAGCGATGAAACATAACACAGACAAAAAAAATCCAAGCCGCAATTTACATTCAATACGCGAGCAATACAATCAGATATATTTGCGTAAGAAACCTGCCATGAAAATATAATTAAACAAAGTAATCATTACATACTTTATTGGAGCGTACCTGTTAATCATGGAAACAGTATAAATAATGGGAGCATCCGATGAGCCCAACAGAGGTGACACGTTCCAAAGGAGTTGGCCTAGGATGAAATATAACAATAGAAAAAAATATTTACTCGTGTATAATCTAACAGATATTCCTTAAGTTTAGCACTCCATGAAATTCTATTTATTATATAAGAAATTAGTATACATATTAAGTTGTCTGTGAATGCTAACAATATAACTGTACCTGTAACACGAGTGACTTCAGAGGCTTCAATGAGGTCAGCCTTATTGAGTAGAAAACGTGTTTGTTGCTCTCTTCCGCGAAGTTGATCGAGCATCGACTGTATTGCGCACGGAAACACATTTTGCGAGTCCATAAAGGAGAATTAGCTGGTCGAAGTTGTTTTTCACAGGTTGTCAGTAATGTTCAACCTTAGGCTGTGGCAAAACTTAGGCCTCTGCTACAATGCGGCAATGTTACGATAATGCGATATACTAGATACTGATGAGGGTGGAAAAAATAACGACAATTGTGGCCTTGTACACTGCTTTGAGTTAGTTAGGAGCAGAAATCGCTTATCCGCTCAGAGCTATAAAGCATAAAGCCCGCTTGAAATGCTGACCTGTAGTGATCGAGTGTAATAAATATATATTATCCCGCTTCCAATTTAGAACTTAAATCTAATCTTAATCCTGATCTAGTTTACTGTTATCTTAAAGAGACAAACCTTCATATCAGAACCGATCTCAAGCTTCGATGGATCGAACACAACGTAGATAGCATCAGCTCTATCGATAAACCACTGAAATGATGCGGGAAAAAATGTCACTCCATTGCACACTGCTACTATACGGACACCTCTTATAATGAGCCGTCAAAAAGAAGCAACGGATGGGGACGAGGGCCAAAAGAGGGCTTAGCAAGTAGGAAGCAAAAACAACAAATAGGCTGGTAAGTAATAAGTCAACTGATCATTGTCAGCTATTAAATGTCTCCTCCGTGATACATCAGGATAAATCTGTCTATTTCTTACAAATAAATGCGCCCCATCAGTTCATTAAGTAAGTTAACGTTTCCAGTAGCTCCTTTGCGTAAGACCCTGCACGAGCTGCAAAGTATTACGTATTTTTTTTACGCCGATGGGGCAGCTTTACCTAATTGCTGCATCTAATAGAGTGCGGAATTGATGTTTACGAAATGAACTCTTAAACAGCAAGGCCTCTATTGCAATATACAGTTATATTATCATTCATCAAACAAACGTAACTCCAGAAACTGAAGTTTGAGTTTTATATTAATGAAGTTCTAGTTGTACCTTACATGTCTAGACCAAAGAATGCATATACCTGAAAGACGTCTTCAAGTGAGAAATCCTTAAAACGGCGCCCGTCGATTACCCCTAGAGTATCTACAATGGTTACCTGTTTAGGAGAGCACGACACGGTTTAGAGTCTACTCAGTATAAGCCAGACTAGTTTGGTCAACATGGCTTTTTCATTCAAACTTATAGCTAGACCAATATAGGTTCAAACTCAAGAGACAAGGAAAAACACTAGAACCAGTGTATCGTAATTATTCGTCCGACTCACGTAAATATCTGCTTCCTGTAAACAAGTATATCTATATAATGACGAATCCATCTATATGAACAAACCTTCTGCAAAAGTGGGTGGTTGAGTCCGATTCCGCGAAAGTGTGACAAGAATGCTTGGCCAAATTTATTCACCCCAGAGAAGGCCCAATCGCCTGCCATCTTCAGGCCGCTCTCCCTAAATAAAAGCAGTATATGACGATGAGCATACGATGATTTGAAGGAAATTTTTGTACGTTAAATAATCTTTTTTTTTTTCTAGTCACCGTAGTACCAATACTTTTCCTGATCAACGCGGGTTGTCTTTGCGCTCTAAAGGCCCCCATTGTCACTCATCTATTAGGAAGGTCGAAGTCATATTCATATATCGCTTTTACTGGGACATGCCTACCTGACAATTCCATCTTCGTTATAGTGTACAACGGTGAAGAACGAATCAGTAGGCTGCGGTCCAGTCTTGAGGGCAGCTCGCGTATTGTCCGTTCCTGCAGAGCATAAGCCCAGTCTTCATCACTTGATTAATGTAATGGCTAAGTCTATCCATTGACGATATTTTTATGTAACCTAAAAATAACAAATAAAATTTACCCAGAAGATAGTTGATAGCGGTGGACTTTCCGGAAGACCAGGGACCCAAGAAAAGGACCATAGGTTTATTGAAAATCTCAGCATCTGAAAAAATCAGTAATTTCTTGAGCAATTGAAGAAGATTATCAATGGCAGTACGCCGACTCCTGTTATTTATTTCTTGCTTTTACAGGGCCAGCGCTGAATTGACTCTACTAGAGACAACCATATGTTTTTCTCAATGTGTTTGCATTAAACGCTGCGTTCTAATTATTAAGCAACCAAATTATTTAAAGGTCGCAAGTAATGTTTTTGCTTACCTCCAAGTACGCGCTGACTAATATCGGAAAATCTGAAGCTCTTCTCTAACGGCTTAATCGAATCGGTAGCGATTTTTTTTATATCCTTCAGAATTTGTGCAATGAGCTTCTCCTCCTCGCGATCGGCGTCGGAGCCAATCAGAGCAAAGCCAAGGGCCTCCGCGATATGACCACGTTTTCGAACGCCATTGAGGCTCAGCTTTACTATTGGCGGACTCTCACGTTTCTTCTTGTCCCTGCTTTCTTTTTTTCCTGCTTCAATGCTTTTCTCCTCCTCTGTCTCCTCCTCCTCCTCCTCTTCGTCATCCTCCTCCTCCTCTTCTTCTTCTTCGACAATTTCGTCACTAAGTTGGTCGTCTTCTTCTTCGTTCTCTTCGGTAGATGCCCCCTCCTCCGTCTCTTTTTCGTCTTCGTCAACGTCACTGGTCTCCTCAGATTCTTCGGCTTTCTCCGATTCCTAGTTCGATATGGAAAAAATGAGGGTTTTTGTTATTTTTTATGATCATTAAAGCATACATACTTAATATACGTTCATACAGGTAGACAAAGTTGATAAATACACACAGCCACGACAAGCCATTTGGAAAGCATTGTTAATACAAAACACACAAGCATCTGTTAGTTTGAACGAGCAAGCGAGCTTGCTTGTAACACACGTTCGATACCTCCATCAACGCGCATCTAAATGCGTAGATGTACTGACATATGCCCGTAAAGACAAATTTTATACGGTCGTATCAGAGACCGCCCAAGTCATCGGACTAAACCTTTCACTCGTTACCCACGGACCTCATCGCTTTCATCCTCTGTCATCGCCTCTTCGCTTTCGACCTCCTCATCATCATCGTCCGGAGTCTCACTTTCCTCTTCTTCAGAAGCTATATCCTCTGACATTTCCTCCTCCTGGTCTTCAGTGGATTCATCAGACCCGTCGGCTGAGGCCGATTCTTCTTCTTCTTTGCTGTCACCCCGATCCTATTATCATCACAGCGATCGTGTACATTCCGCTAGCTGTGTTAATATGTACGTATGCTAAAAAAAGGAATATCTCACAGCGCTAAATAGGCTGAGCCTGCTTCAGCTGCGTTATTAGTATTACTCTGTCGGGCCTCAGCTTCGCGTCTACTTGAGTTTCTGTTTCACAACACATGGTCTAACTATTTGAATACACTCTAAGACGTGCTCAATCACACTAACTCTACGTCCTAGTTATTATGTATGAATTCAACTAAAATAACATGGCACAATCTAAATATTACTGCAGTACCAGTCATTGGCATCTCATTCAATTCACTTGTTGAGGCTGCGTTTTTTTGCATACCTCGTCCCCTGATTCTTTGTCGCTGTCCTTCTCGTCTTCCTCTTCTGATTCCTCATCGGCCTCGCTGCCTTCGTCAGCTTCAGCCGAAACACTCTCATCTCTACTGACTTCCTCTGCGGACCCTTCTTGTTCAGGACTTGCTCCTTCAGATCCATTATCTTCCTCCGAAACCTCAACAGATCCCTCTTCCGAAGCCTCTTCGCTTTCTTCTTCATCCTCTACGGTGGCTTCAGCAGATTCAAATCCAGTATCTTCATCGCTTCGTGCATCGTCTTCACTTTTCTCGTCCTCGGCGATACCTTCATCACTCGCATTATCACCATCCTCTCCTTCAGATGATTCCTCATCTGACTCCTTGGCGCTGCCGTCTAAAGAAATGAGACAATAAAACACGGTGTTATTATGTTGTTGAAATACAAGCCAGGCGGATAGTATAAGTATCACGACTACTATCACATTTAGTAATGAGCAAAAGAGAAAAAATAGCAACAAAATTGAAAAATGTAAATCTTTTTTACCATCTGGCTTACTGGCTTCATCCCCGTCGTCCGCATCGGAGTCTGCGTCGATTTCACCAACTTCTTCTGAACCGCTTTCCTCGGTAGCTTCGTCTACTTCATCGCCCTCTAGGAAACAAGTGAACAATGATCTTTCACAGTAGGTAACAACTTTATACCTAGGGGACGTCAGTGTACATATCTTAATTGAAGCGGGCCTAACTTGAATACTTTATTTCGTTCTGAACTTGGTATAACTGAAGTACAAATAGGTGTTAAGTTCTACCTTCTTCTAATCCGCTATCATGATCATCGACTTCAATTTCGTCTTCTTCTTCTTCTTCTTCTTCCGAATCCTCAATGCCGCTGTCGACGGTCTCTCCTGTTTCTTCCTCGGTGTCATCTGGTTCTGTCTCGACGGGAGCCTGAAATGGCGCATGCTGCAAAATGTATCATTTTTGTTCGATTAATTGTCCTGTCTGAACATCCAGAAAGGCTAATAAAAAATAGAAATCAAATGGCCACATCGTTGCGTTTCACTGTGGGAAGATCCTTCTACGTCGAAATATATTCACCTTTTTGGCGAGAGGTATTGCTGATGGAGGCAGGGTCCCTGGTGGAATGACTGGTGCTGAAGATGCTTTTTCCTTTTTACCGATAATAGAGGCTGTTTCCTCTTTATCCTCCTGCTTTGATTTGGTCCTCGATTCCTTAAGCTTGACCTCTTGTTTCACTTCCTCTTTCACCTCACGCATTTCAATTTTTTTCGCTGATTGAGTAGGAACAGGCTCATCGAAAGCCGATTTTCTAGGTTCCTCTGTTTTTGTTGGTTTCGCAGATTTACCCTAGGAATAAAATGAGACACTATATTTTTATGCAGATAGCCATATACCGTCTGAGAGAACGAACGATATACCTTCGTTCTAGCATAATATCTTTTTTCATTGGGTAGCTTTGTTATCTCCCATGGAGATTTTCTGTTCGTGTAAAAGTCAGTACTCCTGATTTATGTGAAACTAAAATTTTAACAGTTCAAATATTGCACCTACTGATTTGTCCTTCTTTGTCTTGATCGGTTGATCGTCGTCATCGTATTGCGTACGTTTCTCTACGTAATAATGCAATGCATCTGTTACAACCTGAAATGTTTATAGTGCTTTGTTCAAATAAGTTGAAGTAGCATATTTTTGTCGGCTTCAGGCACCAAATGCATAGAAAAAGTATCCATCCAAGCACTAAAACTAATTAAAAGACTGCATGTCTTTAATAAAAAATGACCGCCCTAAGAAGTTAGTTACCGTCTAGCAAATGTGCAGACGGTCGAGCACCATTTACCTTATCACATTCGCAGTTTTTTATTGATGTCGCTTCGGCGCCAGGAACGTTGTGGAGTTTCCTAGATTGGGGTCTCTTAGGCACGTTTAATCTGTCTGAAATTTCAAACAAACGTTTTTTTTTTAGGCGTGTCTCAGTATTTCAAGCTAGATGAGGATAGCTTAGATGACGATATATTTTCGTACCACATACACTTACTTCACCGCTAAAAACTTCATTGCTAATATTATTACTTCTATCTATTGTATATATTGTATATACACAATATGTTTACGTACACCATAGCAACTTGTGCAATACCAATACTGTTATGACCATTGTAAAAGTTTGAAGAAATATGCATGCGTACTTTCTAACTTTATTCAACTATTGTTATTATTATCACTCTAATAATCTTAGCCTTTATATAATAATATATAAATCTTAGCCTTTGTATCCTTACTTACACAAGGTTGTATCGTATCTCTCGCTCTCATCGACAATGAACTCTGAAAGGAAGCGATAATCTACGCTTAATAATTTATAATTTAGTATTTAGTCAAGTGATTTAAAGTGGAGATTTTTATTCTACAAAAATGTGAATTTTCGGGTAAGAGTTACCCTCAGACGTGGTAGCCATTTTTATAGAGAAATGCTCGTGACATACATGCTAAAGTTCGATAAAAGAGCTTTTCAATTTCCAACGGAACTCTGCTAGCGCAGTTTCAACTGCAGGTCTTAGAACATTATACGATTATGCAGAAAAAGCAATTGAACGATAGACATATTCAATAATTCGTGGGGGGCAGTTATTATCTCGTCTTTTTAAGATTTAACTATTATTACCAGCGAAGAGCTGGTTTGGACTACTTCTTCACTGGAAATGACACACGAGTCAAGTTTCTGTCACGCTCCAGAGGCAGAAAGTCGCATCGAACAATGGAAAAAGCTACCATAGGCTCTAGATACAGGCCCGACTGATTTTGATCGCTTCCATGCCTTGAAGAGGGTGATAGGTGACGTAGTGCGTTCTATCGTTTCTTCAGTAAGCCGTCGTTAATGAGATTAGATAAGGCACATCACAAGTATGTGGCTGCCCGAAAGGCCCTAGCGCGTTGATTTCAACGTGTAAACAGTGAAAGAACGTGCATCTAACATACAGCGAAATGTCTTATGTGATTTTTAATTTACTGAAGTTTCTTGGTACAGCTAAACAGCTTTGGAAAAACTAGTATTTTAACAGCGCACCATACAGAGTTCATTTTTAAGATGCCTCGCAGAATCCTGCTGCTTTAGCAGGTGAGGCCAGTAAGTTCTAATTTGCCTCAATTAACTGGCCCGTTCAAGGTGCGCACCAGATATTATTATAATTGGAAGAATTATTTACAACATTAATGCTTTATACTACATTCGAAAATCAGCTCTAGTACATAAGCTGTTCATACTTCATTGACGTTTCGACTTTTCCCCCTTGGAATATTGTATTTTTTCTCTGACATCCGCCTTATATTACACTCGTATTAATGCCATCGTGGAATATATTGAGACTGAACATTGTCCAATGTGTTTCTTTTTTTTTTTTACTTAGAGCTTTGATAAACGTAGTTCTCGATACTTTAAAGCGGATGTCTTAGAAAAGATCATTCCAAATGTTCAATTCTAACACAAATATAAAAATACTACTGGTAAATTAAGATTATTCCTTGACAAGAATAGTCGCAGTATTTAAATATAACCGTAATATTTTCCGACTAGCAGTTCCAAGGTGAACGAACCTAATAAATACACGCACCAATAAAATGGGCAATGGGATTTGAGGCTTCAAGTTATTAAATTCACGTGAAAGGGCCATTACACAAAAAGCTAATGACTCACAAAAATAGTCCCCAGTTGGTAACTTCATTCTAATGAGTCCGTCTCCTAACAACTTCTATTGCTAATCTTTCAATTACAGCAGAGGCGAGCTGTCTTTATGCTAAAACCGACAAATAGCCATTAGAGATGTTCGTATATAGGTCCTTAGAACGTTTCAGTATTAGCAAGCTTCACGCTGAGATACTGAGCTATTAGTGCCATTAGACTTGACTTTTCATTAGTGGAACACCACGTCCTTCTGTAGAAACTAGCATGGTACAACTATTTGTACCGATAGTAGTAGTAATTGCGTTTCCTCCCTATTTAACACGAAAAAAAAAAAATAAAAACATAAGTTACCCCGAGTAATAAAACGTACGGAAAGTGCATAACTGTTTATTCGTATAATTCTGCTTTATCAATTGTTAAAAATATTGACATCATGATCCTGTTTACTATCGCAAACCTTCTGTAGTTCACGGTATGAATGTTTGCCCTGTCAAGTGTATCGGTGACTAATTTGCATGCATCTTTATGGCGAAAGCCACTCTCCAATAAATCGTTGGCCTATACGACTCACTAACTAATGCCACCCCATCAGCACAGAGGTTACGTTGAAAAACAGTGCACGTTAATACTTATAAAAGAGATGTAGAAATACAATTTTAGATTGGAAGAAGAAAGCACCATATATTTTGAATCTAACAAATCTATTTTGCCATTTGTGGAATATGTGATTTGCATTTTTCATTCGAGAATGGCGTTATGCTTCCAGAAAGCATCTTGCTTTAATCTTTAACGATGTCTGCCTCTAGGGTGATCGAGTACCATTGTGTTTTACTTTCACATGTCTTCAGAAGCATGAAGGCTATATGTAGCTCTGCGATTTATACTTTGCAAGATATCAAAGTACAGGACGCGTGTCTGATATAGCTTTTTATCGGGTGTATAATGGATACGATTTGGTGGATAAAACTAAGTGTTATCTCAAAAGATAGCAGAGAGATAGCAAAGAGAGCAGATATCGTATTCCAGCACTCTGGGTTTTAGTGCTCCTCGTCGTATGGGGACGAGCTTATTGCCGAGAAATGGAGCCGTGTCGTTTGCTGTTGAGGAGAAAAGAGAAGGCTTGAATTGATGTCTGCGATGCTGTTGTTCTTGCTGATGATGATCCTGGGTCCGCCCTCCTTTGCTTCGCCTCCTTCTGCCTTCGAGTCGGTACTCTCGCTCACTCGAGACTCTTAATCAAAATCGGCAGGAGTGAACTCTGCAAGGGAGGGAAGGACTCCGGTTACTAAGTGGCCGACGACAACTCATGCCATACAATTCAACAAATCAAGCTTATCAAGCTAACTTGAAGATCACAAGCAAAAGAAAAAACAAGCCATCTAAGCTGCCATCTAAATTGCAGGTTAGGCGCCGTGAGCAGGCAGAACAGATCACACAAACAGGAAGACAGACACGTAGATTACATAAATATAGCACATAGAGCGTCCAAAAACACCAGTGTCTTATATACCTATTAAAAAGTACATTAGCATTATCTTTAACTGACGCCGAAAATTCTCATATTAGGCAAACATCCCGTATAGAGATGCAGCGCAGATTAGAATCAGCATGAGCCTCTTGAGGTTGTGGGGAATTGTATGTATTTACTTGTTGACTACGACTGCCTTAAGGCCTCATGTTATGTGGCATCACTGAACGACGATAGGCGGTCGCACTCTGAACCGTCATCGATACGCACACCGAAAAGGATAGGATATGAATTAAAGGTTCATTTGCAAACTTACCTAAATAACGAACTTAAATAATTGTTTATACGCAAAACGTGCATTCTAACGTTTGTCAAAGCCGGTTGGTTTTTGACTAAAATATGTAGCTCAAACATGGTTCTCCCTCGTGAGTCTAGAGCAAAAAGATAAATCAACATAGCATCAGACATAAGCGCCAATGGGCCTAACCCAAGTAAAGCGCATGGTGTATTGTTTCTTCTCGGTTTAGACAATGCATCCAAAACAGAAACGGTGCAAACGAAGTGGATAATAAAATTATCTGCCCATAGAAAACTCTGTTTCTATGGGCATAGGAAAAAGTTTATTTGAAGTGATGCTAATATCTTTATATCGATGCCAATGATTATTTGACAGCTGGTTTATCTTGAAGCCTTCTCCGGCCACTGCATGAATGAGCTAAAATATCAAACCAATCTTTATCGGTAATGATAATCCTCGTATGTATGTGTAAGTATTACGAAGGCATCAACAAAATGAAAGTTTATATTGGATATGTTGGATATTTTTGAATATGCAACAATCTAGTTAGCCACTAAAGCGGCTAGGTAAATGATATTCTGGCTTTGAATCAGGTTATTACTAGGACATCCCGTTTCAACAATTATAGGAACAACGCTTCTTACTTAAATGTCTTACTTGTGTTACCAAGAAAGTGAACAGTTGATCATGACGAGCGCAAAAAATCTGGCGGATACTGATGTAGAGCAATGTATGAAAGACGGCATGGATACGCGAGCATCGTCCTAGCTACCACTGGTTCATTCTTTCATTTGCTTCGTTGAACTTGGCAAGCGAATGCATAGAGGTAGACCTGCGCCTGCCTGCTGGAGCCTGACTCTGTTTATCTGCGGGCCTGTGCACTATTCGGCCCTTGTATTCATAATCGCCATCATCACGATTATTATCTAATTATCTGTATTGACTGAATAAGCGCGGTCTGCCTACCTCGTTCCGCTACATTGTCTGGCCCATATTGTCTGATGTCCGAGTACACATGGTTTCCGGATGTCACTGCCGAGTTCGCGGTACTGCTAGCGGCCGTTGCGTTCGTGAGACTCATTCATTATCATTCCGGCAGCAGTGTTTTCCTGTACCGCCTGGCGACAATCACGGGCGAGAGATAATTTGTTATTTGAAACAAGTCTCAATCGTAAGTGCCTTGCAGCGGGCACGAGCTATGCAAATGCAAGCCTATGCAATCGGTGCCTTCCGATACCAGCGAGAAAGTAACGCATCCTATCGGCCAAGAAAGCAAACACCACTATATCATTGGCAGCATTTCGACACAATGTATTCGTACTACGAACGCACCTTAAGGTGGCAACACTCATGAGTGATTTACTCCACTCAAGGCACCGTGAAGGCAAGAAATCTATGGCGTCGCACGAATACCATATGCTTCTCTCGCTCGAAGCCGCTGTGAGATTCATAGAAATTCACGGCAATAAGCAAGTCCGCCGCTTGCTGCTAGGTTGTTGCTGATGCTCGCGCAGAAGAAGCATTCCCCCCCGCAAGAATATTTGACCAAGTCTCAAGTGGCTCGTGCTGCCAGTTCCCTGTTTTTGGGTTACTAGCATCTGTTTTTAACGGCGGCGTCGCAGCATCTCGATGCGTCCTGCTTCGTTTCCTTCTTCCGTGGCTGGGCTTAGCTAAAATGGTCGACTCTCCTGGAACCAACTGTGGGTACTCGCTACTTGCCGGGCGACAATATCGGCACCGTAATGTCCCGTCTCTGTCTGACCCTTCTGAACAGCATCAAGGTCGCAGACTGGCCTCCTCTGACTACTACTGGCCCGAAAGTTCTTAATCTTTTCGACGGCGTTTTGCCTTCTAATGCTCACTCCTCGCTGCCAACTGCTTAATGTTCGTTGTGAACCTACTCCCAGACGACTACCAGAGTGCAACATTTCTGCCGCTTTTTCCGTCGCCCGCACGACCGTACAGATATCTTCTTCAAATCATGTCAGGTCTACGGAACATTGATTATGCATATCGACTGAAACCACTTAATTGCATCCTATAGCTTTTCTATTATGCTACACAACTTGCATCTGAATGTATCTATTGCAGGGTGCGTAACAGCTATACGTACCCACATTGTATATCCGAGGAAAGGCCTGCCGTACGAATAAAGAATTTTATACACACGCTTTTTTAGACGCTTACATCGTTCAGTTTCACTGCACGATGGAGCCTACTTGAAGAGCTCAAGTACTTTTCCAAATCGATAGATTAATAAAAAATGAGTGACAGGAGCCTAATCAGATTTAATCTTGTATCACAAAATGTTCGAAAGGCCTTACTAGATTCACTTGCTATTGAGATTCAGACAACGTTAGACGTCGAACAAAACTAGTGGGATGTCTCAGATGCAATAAGTGACCGATCTCGTCAGAGTGACCTGCCAATAACGCACGACTAGAACGTCATCATCGACCAGCAGCAGTTGGCTGATTTATCCGTCTTAAACACAAGTGAGAATGGTGACCGGCTGTGACACAGGTCCCCGTTTTTGCTGTGAACGACTGTGAACTGTGAACGATAGCTACCTTCCTACCGGAAAGTAAGGGACAACTCTTTAAGATGACCTCGATTTGAAGCTTTCAGATAACCTCGCTTTAATCTCCATCGCGTGCTTCGGGCTGGCTGCAAGTGGCCCCAATCAGGGCTACAGTTGAAACTGTATTCTTTAAAGGGTGCGTTGTTTCATTGATCTCAAGAGAAAGCAGCACATAGCGATATGTCCAACAATTTCCTGTTGAAGTCATGTATTATGCGCTTGCCACAAGGATAGTTTTATTAAACCAGTGGTAATGTCTGAAACGATATTTAATGACACAGTTGCAAGAAGTCGATTATATTGATTTACAGCGATACACATTTTGGAAATTTTGACCATAGCGTAACTTGGGTTGATGAGAACAACGAACGTTTTAAAATCATGTATCCTTTAAAACACAGTATAAGAACAGACGCTTTGCTCATCGCCTGCTAATTTGCCTAGTTACATAAACTTATAAGTTGTCGAGTAGAATAGTTCTGCTGTGCTCGAATGAAGTTCCTCAAAAATGGAAATATAATGTTCCCTTTCTTGGGTTGTCAGCGAGCCGAAGAAGAAGACCGTCATAAATACACCCGTTTTTTTGATTCGATGAATTATTAACGTTGCTAAATCTAATTATCTTTGCTACACTATATTTTGCATGTGTTTATATGTATATATCAAATTATCATAGTTTACTCAACGAAATTCATGGATCTCCAAATATTTAGTTTTTTCAGAACGAATTTGCCAAGACGATCCTTAAAACACACCATTTCAGCCAAGGGAAATTCAATACACCTAGGCTCACTTCACATTATTGCGAGAGGAGTGCCGTAAACAAAACAAAACACTAGCGGATCGTTATGGTCAATAGAAGTACATTTTCTATATGATGAATATACGAAGCCTTCGTGAAATGCATAATTTCACGAAGGCCCCGTCCAAAAGAAAGGTTTCAGGGGCAAAACTGAACAGTCTGAAGTAATCTTGTCGTCCAAATGGGCTCATAAGATATTTTTGTGGCACCCGCATCAAAGTCAGCCAATAAGAATCGCAAGGGGCTTGAACGTAAGTCGGCGTGCACGAAGTTACTTCCACTTCAACACGTCCACCGGCGAGTTTTTCGTTATCGTAAACAAATGACTCACTTTTAGCCTGTAATCATGGACCACACATTGTGCTACAACAGATAGGTAAGTCGTATACGGCCCCTGGCGACCGCTGTTATGGTTTTGTGCATTCCACATTCTGTTTGCCGCTTCCTCAGGGGACCCGGAAATGGAACTCTTATGCTGCTAAGCTACATAATTGTTGTAATCCTCAAACTAGGCTGATCTCGACTCGATTCACACGCTGATTTCTGGATTCAGCAGGACAACACTCACCGTTGATCCAGATGGCGGCAATTCCGGCAAGGACAACGAGTAGGATGAGCATCCCGCTAAGCGGAACGCTGCCCTCCAGCTCTCCGCGGCCCTTGTCTGCGTGCACCGCCACCAACGAGCTCCGGCGTCGCGACGACATCCTTGTTTCTTCGTTCTCTGCGTGCGCTGCGAGTTAGGTGCACCTGGGCAGCTGTTAATTCAGCTGCTCCTGAATGTGCACGACTCGGTTAGTTGTATCGTTCGTCGCTGGTTGTATAATGGTAAGCGGCTATTCTTGTACAGTGGTCTCGTCCGTTTCTTACCGGTCCCTCCGACCGCGCACCAGGACGACGACTGACCACATTGGCCGCGAACCGAACCTTCGTTCGTACCGCTGTACAGGGCCAGAACCCTCGCGCACTCATCCTTCCGGAGCGGTGCAAGCAGGCGAGCAAGGAACAGACTCGCAGCAGAAAGAGACCCGCTCGTAATCGGGTACGCTTACCGGTTGAGGCCTACAGCTTGCCGCAGACTTCGAATTGCGACAGTAGCAACAGCAGCGACACAGCACCTGCGGACGGGACAGGCACTTCGTGGTAGCCTGGCGGCCCTAAACCGCCAGCGGGTCCTGCTGGCCTCTGCAAGACGACGGTGAACGAAGCAAGCCAAAGCAACTGGCTAAGCAAGCTTCATACAAAATGCGAAGTACAACACGAGAATATCTCGTAAGCACCGCGTAGCACATACGACACAACATCATAGCTTATCTGTTGAAGGTTTCTAGTACAATAATTCCGAGGCAAAAAGTACCGGCACGCATATTAGAGATATCGCACACATGACCCACGGGTAATTATCGCTGATCTTATGTTTACGGATAATGACGCATAGTTTTCTGAACTAAAACAATAAGCAGTACAATTCTATACTAGTAAATTACATCGCGAAGGTTAAAGTGTGATATCATTTTTTTGGTGAACGTAAAAAAACTTTGAACCAGTTCTTTAGACTACAAACTCTGTACGCTGAGGCGTACAATGCACGGAAGTTTGATGGTGGCTTTTCGTGTGTATTATTAGAACTTGGAAACAAATTGGATGCAAAACATTTGGCCATTGTGCCTCGAATACGCTAGAAATAGATTTGTATCGTCGCAAATGTTCTCAGGATTCCTGCTAAGTATAATAGAATACTTCAATAGCTGGAAAAAATTTAGATATAAATTTAAATTACGACTATATATATATTGTTAACTATCAGTACTTGAAACTTTTAAGAACGTTTTACTAAGTCAACGAACTCATTCCATCTGATATTAGCTAATGGGCATCGTTTCCATAAGATAATGTTTCTATTTGATTGTGGCATTATGCCTGTATGCTGTGTTTTCCGTCGAAAACTTGAAAAATAGGATTAGATCTCTTGAAAATTTATCGATACTCATGTTCCACAATGCTCCTATACGTATCAAAAGGACAATGACCAATCGTATACAATATGAGCCAAGCAGTTCTATAAGATGCCTTCTTAAATGTCCATTTGTAATAAAAAGACATTCGTAAATGATTTCTCAAGGCACATGCGGAGTGTTGCATGAAATAGCGATGCTAACACTACGTTATCAAGCCTTACATACCGTAACAGATTTTTATGGCGTTTCACTAATCCTATTGTTGGTTGGTCCTTCCCAGGCTAAGTTGATAATGGGATAGAATATTCCATAATCACCCGGATTTAGAATTCTTTGCTCAAACCAGGACGTCTTCGAGCTATGGCGATGGGGTCTAGCTTTGCTATCAAGTAACCGGGCTGCGTAACTTTAATTGCCGTTATAACGGTCAATAAGTGTCTTTAGAAGCTCGAGATAGCGAGTTGCGTCTGGTGTTTCATTTTCGATGAGTATCTGAGGTCCGACATTAGTTGACAGTGGCACCAAACGCGATTTTTCACAAACATTTCTAATTGATCTACAGTGAAGCTTACTAAACACAAAAATTGATCTTTTTCTAGGTTTCTGAGTTTTCACTATTCCCGTTACAATTTTGTAACATGTTACATGTGAAATTTCAGTTTTGGTCAGTAAAACCCTTAGACTCCAGGCTGTGCTGTTAGGGCGATGCGTCCTTGTCCTACGGGTCACAACATCTGATCACCTCCTCGCTGGTCTCCAACGCTCCAGTGTCGATTCCTTTATGTTTATGTTACGAAATATTTACCATCCGTTTTGCTTACGGCCTTCTTGCCTGATGTCTTCACAAATCTTCGATTGATCTCTGCAGCTATGTAATCGACAATAAACGAAAACGTGATTACTGAGAATTGAGGCCAAAATATGATTTCTCGCATTGAACTCTTTCTTGTAGAGTGTATTCGACCGGTTTTCATTAACCTCTAGAACATTAGAGTGTTTCCTAAATGAATTTCGTCTGCTGGCGGCGCGTGGGTCAGAATTAATTCACCTTTAAGTCCGTCAGGCCCGCTCGTAACAGCCTACCTAACATATATATATATATATGCGAACAGACGCGACATGTTGGACATATGACATGTGTATCATACGACGAAATGACCTTTGTGGCCTTAAATCTTAAAAAAAAAACTTACTTAAAACTTATTCGCTTTTGCTGGTATTGTTGTGTTTGATGATTGTTTTTCGCAAGTGGTGCTACCTATGTTCGTTATAGAGGCGACTGTACCCCATACAGTGACGGATAATGTTGTATTGTTAGATTGATATTTCAAATAACAGGGTCCATACGAGAGTTTGATAGGTAAACTATTATTTGAAGGGTATTATTATCGGCAACAATGTTAATTGTGGCTAGTTACGAGGGTCGAATTTGGTGGGCTCTACAGTTGAGGTGCGGCGACTATACACGAGCTCAATAAACCTGGAAGTCAGGAAAAGGAGAAATTATTGACAGTTCGAAATTATGTAACCCGTTTAATTACAGAAAATCATTTAGACGAATCAGAGGAAAATTGCTGTACTAAAAGGGGCGGTAAAAGGTAAAAAGGTCTGTTGTATTGGTTTCGAGGGGTTCAACAACTTTTAATATAATCGATTTAAGCTATAAGATTGGCCTTGCTTTTCTACTTATCTAAGTAAAGAACGGTTCTGTAATGCTAACGGCCCTTGCAGCAGGACGTAGGAGAAAATTTCTGTCTTTTTTTGTGTGTCACTTGGACAGCTACATAGAGGTGTGATTAACAATACAACGTAAAGTCTTTGACAAGACTCGACGAAGTAAAAGATGTACAGGCTATTGGTTTTAGAAACATGAAATGGCTAGCTATCTGGAAAGAAATAACAGGTACGTCTAGCAGCAATATTTTTTTTTTTCAATATTTCTTGCATAGAAGTAAGTCGGTCCCTTGCATACGTCAGGTGTGAGTCACGATTTGAGCGTCAATGGTGAACCCACATCTGTCTGTCTAATTACAATGCTTTGGCTGTATCCATAGGCTGACGAGTGGCATCATAGGTGAAATTTATTAACTAAAAAACTACACGCTAAGCACCAAATTTTCGAATCGATTTTGAAACATCTATTCCAGTTTAGCTCAGCTTTCATAGATCGTTATCGATTCCGACTAGACAAAGCATTGAACGGAACAATGGCTTTGCTTAGGCTGATTTGCTCGTGCTTGCGTTCGTCATTTTCTTAATAATCAGATATACTCTTAAAGTATTTACGCGTCCTGCGCCTATCATATCCGGTCCTTTGTTGAGTTATTTAGGGCCAGATTCTAGGTAAGGCTTGAGTTTAGCCCTAAACACTGTTATCACTATTGTTCGAACAATGTTATTAACGGGTGCACTACACACGCTGGGATGACAAAATAAGACGTCAACCAAATTGTCACACCCACGTTAAGTCGTACAGAGGGGTAGCGTTGGTGCGATGCTAACTAATACGCTGCTTTCCACATGAAGAAAAACATAGCGACTAGTCAAAACGATAGAAGCTACTGGGGAGTCTAGATAAATCATTCATAAAATTCTGTTTAGACAGTACGTCCATTGTCTTCTTGGTGTAACATATATGCGCCATATTCCATTCTATGCTAGAAAAATTATAATTTCTAATGAATCAAGAGTGACTTAACTCAAGCTGCCTAGCCATCTTTTAGACGAGGAATTGGATTGACAATAGCTTTTTTTACGTCGGAAAGGGAATTTATCGACACGTTTGTTATAACCCTTTATATATA